ATATAAGGCCAATATTCATTGTACGCAAGAATCATTGAAAATGAAATTAACAATCCCAAATCCTCTGAGTTTGTTATTCTAATATGGTATTGTTATTCTAATATGGTATCAGAGTTTGTTATTCCAATTTTAAATTAAAAAATTTGGGAGCTTTGAAATATTTTTTGGGCATTGAAGTGGCTCGTTCCACTGCTGGTATCTCCATCTGTCAGCGCCAGTATACTTTGCAAATTCTCTCTGATGTTGGTTACCTTGGTTGCAAGCCAAAATCAACACCTATGGAACCCAACCTCAAGCTTTCTTCTACTGCAGGTGATGCTCTCTCAGACCCAACACAATATAGAAGACTTATTGGGCGTTTAATCTATTTAACCATCACAAGGTCTGATATTTGTTATACTGTGAATCACCTTAGTCAATTCATGTCTGCTCCTAGAGTACCTCATCTCAATGTTGTTTCCAGAGTGTTATCTTATCTAAAAGGTACTGTTGGTCAAGGTTTGTTATTTTCCTCCTCTTCCAAAGTTCAACTGAATGCTTTCTCTGATTCGGATTGGGCTTCATGCCCTTACACACGCAAAAGTGTCTCCGGTTTCTGTGTTTCCTTAAGACACTCCCTCATCAGTTGGAAATCCAAGAAACAAGCAACAATATCCAAATCTTTTGCTGAATTTGAATATTGATCCATGGCTACTGTAACACCCCGTTCTAGAACCGATTTGTTATCATTGCTTTATGATATTAAACGCAATTACAATCACATTGGTTTAATTAAAAACCCGGATAGATTTTTCCTTTTCTTTTAAAAAACACCGAATTTAAAATAACCAATTATGTGACTATAACCATTTAACATTGCGGAATAATTAAAACTAAGCTTAACATCATATTCTTATTTCGTTCAAGTTCAATACTAAACTTTCTTCACTTTTTATTAAATGGGAATTTCTATACTTACTTTATAGTTCTCATCTACCATTATGTTATATATCTCTCTGTTAGCTTCGCGTGGGTTCAAACCACGCTCAAATCGAAGGTATGTAGCTCAAGTTATGCTAATTTTACTAAACTATGTTCATGCTATTTTCGGGATGCGCGCCCGAGCGCTCAACTGGGCGCTCGAGAGCCCAAAGACTGCAAATTTTGCCATCGTCATATTTTTCAACGCGCTTGGGCGCGCACTATCGCGCTTGAGCGTCCAAATCAACGCTTGAGCGCCAAAAGGCAGGGAATTTCACTTTATTTCACGCATATAGCGCGCTTGAGCGCCCAACTCAGCGCTTGAGCGCCCTACACCTGGGGCAAACTTGGTATCCCCTGTTTTTGGTGAGTTTCTTGGGGAAACTTCATTCCCCTTTCATTCTTCAAGGGTTATAACACCTAATTGACAAAGAAAGGCCAACCATGGTCGCACACCATGTGGCACCTACATCCCACAAACACTTACCAATTCTTCATGCAAATCAAAACAACAAACATAACTTCATATTCATCAATGTATTGAGGTCTCAATTACATCAATGTTCTTCCCAATCTCATATACATGCCAAAAGTACTTAGCTACCAAAATAAACATGATCAAAGCAATTAACCATATACAGCATACCAATTACTACTACAATGATCATGCACTAAGTCCTCCAAAATACATCATATGGCCATGTAAATGATATATATATATATCTAACAATCCTAATGGATATGCAGTCCCAAAATGACAAACTATCATGTGCCATCTACTTAGGCCTCTTGCCTCGTCCCACTTCATCCATGCTAGTACCCGAAATAGCATTCCCTAAACGGGGTGAGATAAAACTCAATAAATCAAGGGTTCTTGGAGAGTTCATCCAACCCCAAAGTTCACTTCATGCGTGAAGGGTTAGTATCCACATGGCATGAACTACATCATATGTCTAGAGGCAATAACAGTAATGATTGAATTACAACATACTCATTCATTCAAATGACCAAAGAATTAAACAATCAAATCATCACACACGCTTCAGTTGCATCTAAGTCCTTTCCACTAAGCATACAACCTAGCCTCTAGAGCTTGTTCATTGGCCCTTTCTCCAATGGTACAACAATACTATATGAATGCAAATATACCATAATACTAACATTATGACTCAATCATCCATTCATTAACCATTACTTCCATAAAAGCAATGGTGGAACAACAAGAGGGATTAACCTCCAAGATCCAAAGGTTTACCTCTTGATGTTTTCTCTCTTTTGCAAGCTTTCTTCTAGCTCACTTATCCACACCAACCTTTCTTGGTATTTCAACTTGGTAATTTCTCCCAATCGCCAATACACCTTATTCAAGAGTGTGAAATCCATCAATTTAACATACCTACAACATATTCAAAAACATACAATCAAATTCACACCACAATTAAGGCATGAACTTACCAATCAAATAGCCTAATCAAGCTCCTTGCTAGACAATCAATTCAAATACTCAACATTAACATCATTCTCAACTTACCTTTTGTTCTCCAATTATGCAAAAGGCAAGGGTTTCACCCAATTGCTCCACCAATGAGTTTTCCTCAACCAAGTGTCCTCAAACACATCTCTACATCATGAGACCCAAGAAAATCATCAAAATCACCCAACATAATGATGAATTTCGTGGCACTATTCACCTCAAAACCTAGCATCCAAGAAAATATATGAAAATCATGTTTGAGTGAGGAAAACTTACCCCAAATCACCTTAGAATACTCAGGGAATGATTCTTCAAGCTCCAAGGCACACAAAACACCCACAATCACTCAAATTTATCAAATTTTTGAGATGGAAAGGGTGAGAAATCTCCCAATACAATGACCCCCAATTAGAACCAAGCAATGGGTTTTGTAGAGGATGAAATTTGACACACTTTAGGCTTTGGCATGGATGGATTTGGTGGAGATTCAAGGGAGTTAGGGTTTTCTCCTCAAATGGCTTCAATCTCTCTCCCTCCCTCCCTCCCTCTGTTTCACGTCGTGGAAGAAGAAGAAATGCGGTGGGGCTAAGTTTTCAACTTACATATGCTAAGTTATTTTAACTGGGTATAAGCTTATCTATCTATTCACCTCCATTCACCACTAAACTTTACCCAATGAACTAAAATATTTTTCTAGAGATATTTTTACTTTTACTTTTATATTTTGGATGCTTTTGCCTACACCCATTTTTACCCCTTAATTTTCACTGAGGTCACTTTTTACCTCAAAAGTGACCTCAATTCATTTAATTAGATAGTTAACCTAATTTTACCCAATAATGCATGATTAATTATTTAATCACATGCAATTTATTAAATAATTGGGTTAGGGATATTATAGCTACGGTGACTTGTGAACTTATTTGGTTGTTTTCTTTACTAAAGGATTTTAATATTACTTATTTTCGTGCTGCTCATTTGTTTTGTGACAATTATGCTGCTTTACACATAGCTGCAAATCCTGTTTTTCATGAGAGAACAAAGCACATCGAGATTGATTGCCACTTAGTTAGGCAACAAATTGTTCAAGGCAATCTTCAAACTTTTCTCATTGCTTCTGCAAATCAATTGGCTGACATACTCACTAAGGTTGTTTATCCTGCTCAGTTTTCTTCCCTGCTTTCCAAGATGGGAGTGCACAATATTCACTCTCCATCTTGAGGGAGAGTATTAGAATATACATTTTTATATTTTATAAGTTAGTTATTGTACAGCTGTATAGGTATATAGCATTTTCTGTTATGAGCCCATGTGCTCACTTTTTACTCAATTATGTTATTTTTCCATTATGTTATTTTACCCTTTTGCCTGTTGCTGATATAAGGCCACTATTCATTGTACGCAAGAATCATAGAGAATGAAATTAACAATTCTAAATCCTCTAAGTTTGTTATTCTAATAACAATCGCAAAAATTGTATGTGAATTTAAACTCCTTTTGGATGGAATAGTAAAAAAGTATGAATTTTAAGAGAAATAGAAGATAAGAAGTAGGAGATGGTGAGTTGTGTGATAGTGTTCTAAATGTGAGGGTGAAAGAAGGGAGAAACAAGATAAATGGGAAGTGGCAATATAACATCCTATATGCACCTGGTGTATTAACTTATTTATGATATTAAACGCAGCTGAAATTAATTCTTAATTACCTACTTAGCATTAAGGTAATCTCATGATGTGTAACATTGTGAACTAACGGGTGGTTATAGGGTTATAGTCTTATGTATGACCTTGTTAACCAATATAATCTTTATAACTAAAGAGTTAGATGTTAATGAGTGTTAAATGAATCAAAAAGAAAATATTATTTCACATTTTCGCTATAACCACATGTTATTTCACAATCTTAAACATCATGAGATTACCTTAATGCTAAGTAGGTAATTAAGGATTAATTTCAGCTGCATTGAATATTATAATTAAGTTAATATATCTGGTTCACACGTAGTATTACTGACAACACCTTGACAATTTTGCTCGTAAATGCTCTAATACATTTACTAATATTATATAATGAATCAATTCAAATTCAAAAGTCTTACAAATAAAAGTATATTTATTATTTTGTATTATATTTTTCTTAAATAAATTAATTAATTAATTAATCGAGCTTAAATCTTATTGTGAGAATCTTATAACGTGTGACCTTGTATGGTTCGTTGTGATGATGGAAAGGAAAAAGACAAATCATGGAGGATAATAAAGAAACATATAAGAGGACATTGTTAAGGGAAATTATCCATCAGTTTGCAGAAATACCCCCCAAGTTTGCAATTCGCAAACGGTTTCATGAATTTTCTTTCACTAAGAATAGCAAAACTCTAAATTCATTTCAGAAACAGCATAAAATAAAAAAAATCAACTTTTTTTAAGTGTTGAAAATGATCAATTTGATATAAACAAATATTTAAAGTTAACAAAACAAATTTTATAATATTAATAAAAATAAATTAGAATTTAAAGTCGCTTTCTTTCGTTCAGCATTCAAAATTCCAAAAAAGGAAAAGAGGATTTTCTTTCTTACCCGAATTTTACTAATTGACTTGCACAGCCGCAGACAGAGGAAGGAGAGATGGAAGCCCTTGCAGTGTTTGGTGGAAGCAGTGGTTTTGTCACTGTCAGTGTCACACCCTCTCTTGTACGCTCACCAAAACCAACCAAAAGGACTATCACCTCATCCTCCATACCCAACCGGCCACTATTACGCGCCACCCATCACCAACACTTAGCAGCATTTCCTTCAAAATTCCATCTTTTCTCACATCACCAACTTTCTACTTCTCCTCCCTATGCTAAAACCCTCAGCACCAAAAGCACCACAAACCCTGGCATTTTCCTTCCTCACTTAATTGCTTCTCTGGTTTGCTCTCTCTCTCTCTCTCTCTCTCTCTCTCTCTCTCTTCTATATTCCCTCAACAATTTGAAATTCCGTATCTCTCCCTGCTTAATTTATTAGCAGGGTATTGGTAAATGTTTTTTCTTCTAATGTGCAGCAACAAGTTGACCAAACTTACATAATGGTGAAGCCTGATGGTGTGCAACGTGGCCTCGTAAGCCTCCTAATTTGTTCACTTCAATTTCTTATGTTCTGGTTTGAGGAATAAAAGAGGGAAGAAAAATGGAATTTAAAGTTTAAGTTTAGAATTGTTTATTTATTTATTTATTTTTAATATGCTGGTCTTTAGCTCTTTTTTTCTTTTGGAAAACGGTTTACTTTTGACCCCTTTTCCCGCAATGCTGAATTTTCTTATTGTGTTGAACTGGTTTAGGTGGGAGAAATTATTTCTAGGTTTGAGAAGAAGGGGTTTAAGTTAACAGGCTTGAAGCTCTTCCAGTGCTCAAAAGAATTAGCTGAGGTTTGTACTTGCTGCAATGCTTGCTTGTATGTATATCATGTGTTAAGTGCAATAGTTTTTTTCTTGTTATTGGGATTATGAGGTTTAGGTAGGAAGGAGGAAAAGAGAGAGAAAGGAAACGCCTCATAATATTCTATTAAACGGATACGGTGGTGGTCTTATTCATACTAATAATACAATAAATAATACTATTACCCCTAATTATATACGGAAATTAGGAATGAGAAGATTGCTTCTTCAATTAGAAAATTCATTGATTCCACAATACACTCTGAAGATCTTCTAAGATATTCCAAGATACACAGAAGATAAAAGGCAGCCTGGGAAGGAAGGATTAGGAAAAAAATCCTATTGATTGCAATTTTTCCTGGTCCCCAGTAAAAGCATGAAAAAAAGGAGCGAATCCACCATTACCCCATAATAAAGGGGCAATCTCATAGTTCATGGTCCGTGAAGACATTTGTGCTCCATTTTTCTTTTTCCGTTGAGGCCTAAATAACATGTGCTCGAGAGATAGCCATTTATATACTGATAAGGAATTTATGAATTCTCAAGAAGAGAGGAGCTGCAGTGGTCCGCTCGGATCCATGAGTGAATAGCAAGTTGGATTTACATTGGATCACACCCGAATCTCCCTATCTATCCTCTTGAGAAGTTTAGTTTCAAACCCCAATTCGAATAAAAGAAATATGCCACCTGCTATGCACAGGGTCCAGGGAAGTGTTCAACCCGTTGTGTGGGTCTATAGTAGGCAACTTTACCTTGCATTTGCAAGAGATTGATTACATGAATTGAACTTGTGACCTTCGAGTCGCATGACAATGACAACAAGACTAACTGTTGTGCCAAGGTTTCCCTTCCCAAAAACATGGAAGATATTAATGACGTACTCTAACTATCTCCCTCTAAGCTTTAGCTTGTTACAATTGAACACAAAAGTAACTGGAGAGACACTTGTAAGTTGTAAGGTGCAATGGAAGAGGTGGCTTTGTAAGGGCGCGCAACAGGAGAGGCGCTGTTGTAAGGGTGCATGATGGGAGAGGTGGCTTTGTAAGGGCGTGCAATTGGGAGGAGCCAAATGGTTTCTAAGATGGAGCCAATCTACAGTAAGACAAGCTGGCATGGAGCCAATCTACAGTAAGACAGGCTGGAACAGAGTTGAATGGTTAAAAAGTAGCTGGAATGAGTGAAAAGAGAAGAGGAAAAAAAGTCTGGGTTTGGTGGTGGTGGATAATGATTTTCATGAGTTCCATGAACTCAACACCAGAAACTCTCCTCAAGGTGGAGACCATGGTCCTAGTACCATTTTGGGCTTATGGGGTTTAGGTAGGGAAGGAAGAAAAGAGAGAGAGGAGACTCCCAATAATAATCTATTAAATTGATCCAATGGTCCAATTTATACTAATTATACAATAAATAAGACTTTTAAGTATTAAGCCTAATTAAATAAGGAAAACTAGTGAGAAGATTGCCTCCTCAATTAAAATCTACAATATATTATGAAGACTTTTTAAGTTATTCCAAGAGACACAGAAGATATTATGATATAGTCTAACTATTATATTATCTATGTTAGAGAGATATAATGTAAAACCATTGAAGGCCCATCACTTATCAGTTTAAGTTTTTGGATGAAATGGTTCTTAACAATCTAGAAGGTATATTAGAATTATTCTCTGTGCATATGTTGCCAATGAATTTTTAAAAAAAAATTATTGTCATGTAATTATTCTTAATTTATACAATTGGATTTGGTAGTAGTGGCATGGAATGTAAGAATATTGAGTGTTTGAGTAACTAAATTCAACCATCCAATTACAAAATCTCATTGTATCCATGTTTTCATGATTGATTTCTATACCATATCATATGAACTTACATCTTGTGTTTACATTAATGGTGATTCTGTGTATGATGTTTGTTTTGTCTTCAACTTGTAACATGCTATTAACATTTCGTAAGGCTTATTGTGACTGTTTATGATCCCAGGAGCATTACAAGGACCTAAAAGAAAAGTCATTCTTCCCTAAGCTGATTGACTATATTACTTCAGGACCCGTTGTGTGTATGGTATAACTCTCTCCATAGTATCCCACTTTCTCATACATTTTTGCAATGTACTTGTTGAATGTGATTTATGGTTTTAATATAATGCTGTGTTTGCAAGGCATGGGAGGGTGTTGGGATAGTGCCATCAGCACGTAAGCTTATAGGGGCTACAGATCCTCTTCAAGCTGAACCGGGCACAATAAGAGGAGACCTTGCTGTTCAAACAGGAAGGTATGGCCTTTAATGCTTTTGCCTCTAACTTGTGACTATTGAGTGCCTTCACTCAGGAATGAAGATAGGCTGCAGTGGATCTGTATTTTTTGTTGATTTAAGTGTCAGGAGTGACAAAATCTTATGATGAACTTCTGGCAGGAATATTGTTCATGGTAGTGACAGCCCCGAGAATGGCAAGCGTGAAGTAGGTAAGGCCTCTTATGCTATATAGTGTAAACCAAATACATGCAACAAAAAAGAAATGTAATTATGGAAGAGAATCGAAAAGCTAGCCATTAATTTAAACATTAGCAGGTTTCAGAAGTGTTATGATTACAAAATACAAGCTTTAATTTTAAATTTTATTTACTGATTTTTAGTATCCGTCCATATTTTCCCTTGATGAAGATAATTTTGAGCTTCCAAGAAAATTTTGTGCAATAGACCCACCTTAGGAGCTGGACTTTGCTAGTGTCAAATGATGTTTAGTTGCAACTGATTAATGCTGACGAAAATTAGTTGATTAGTCTTTTTCTCAATAATATTAATGACAATTGAAAGATGAGAGGAGGGAGAATATGGATATGGATATGCCATGCTAGAAGTTCCGAGGGAGGCTGATGAACATCAAGTATATGAGGAAACTAAGAAATGTCAGAAAAAATTAATTACAGGAACAAACTGCCCAAAAGGGATTGAGCATTAGAGTGAAACTTGGGTGCATCAAGGTGATTATGAAAGCAAGGGAAAAAGAAAACACTAAAAGGGGAATGAGGTGGAAGCCAATTATAACGGTAAAGTTGCCGCCGGTAACATTACAGACTACATTAAGCAATACCTTTTAGTGCTGGGATTGGGAGAGTGGTTTTGTGGTAATCCATCAGCAAGGTTTTCCAACTTGAGAATTTAGGCAAAGTCCTGGAACTCTAGTAAACTCCACTTGTAAACTCTTTCTTCAAAAATATTTAAAAAACACATTTTAGTACCGTAAACATAATTTAATATATCCATAATTATTATTCAATCTATCTACTCCCTAAAAAGCAATTAAAAATAATAAAATTTAAAGGTAATTCAATACTTGACCCGGCTATAAAATTATACTTAGCCCAGCACTTACATTATTTTGTAGTTGAACAAAAAAGGAATTAGCTTTATGAACCCAATATACATTGCAGAACACCCATGATTTTGTCAGAGTTTACTTTCAATTCGTTGGTGTTTACTAAAGCGAGAGTGTACATGCGATTGAACTCGATTGTGTCCAAACTCCTTTGATTGTAAACTCAAACTCATAAGAGTTTTTAGAGTTAACTTGAGAGCTTAATAACCATGTCCATTAGCGTGTGTATCTTTTTCAATCGTCAGCTTAAATTAACTACTGGCAATTACAATAGATATTGAATACATTATTTAATCAAGACCTATAGGATAATCTAAGCCATTTTTGTTCTGAACTTCATCTCTCAATAGCTGCCTTAAACTACCAGCTTGTGGACTCATCATAATACCAGGCTGTCGTCATCTTGCACAAGTTATTAATATTGTAATCACATAAAAAATGTTATTCCCACTAATTGAAAATGTCTTGCGAACCAAATATCTGGTTTGTGGGAAGATAAACAATGGGATACAATTGAATTGGACATAATTTTAGAGTACTTAGGAGAATTTGTGCTGCAACGTAAATGTTACCCGTAATTATGTGATTCTTGATTAACTCGTTTTTTCCATTTGTGGCAGCTCTATGGTTCAAGGAAGGCGAATTATGCGAATGGACTCCTGTCCAAGCACCATGGCTAAGAGAATAATACATCACAGATGCCCGATTACAATGATACATGCAGTTTCTAAGTTCAATAATTTGATCAATTGTTTTCAGTTGTCAATGTAGCACTGCATTTTGAGAAGTTTTGCTTGATTTAGATTCATGTCAAAACCAATTTCTTTTTCCATCATATCAAAATTGAAAGGGGCATGCTGTGTTACCTGAAGTGCCACTGCAACAGACACTAGAAACCAAAGAGTTGCAATTAAAGAAAATGCAGCATATACTAAAAAATTGTGTATGGAAATCAAGTGAACAGGATTGATGAGCAAACAGCCAGAAAAATTTAATTTTCCAAACTTAAATGATAGAAACTAGATTATCTTTGCTGCATTTCAAATAATACATGGTCCATATTGATGGTGTAAGCTAAGAATGAGATACAATACTGCACAAACAAAAATTAGTTTGAATATAATTTAGTTGACAGAAGCAGTGGAAGGTATAACCTAGAACAAATTGCCGATTTACATGCTTTCAGGTCATAAAAAACCATATTTTATTCTGACAAGTCGCTATTTCGTAAAGTTTGAACTCTTTCCATTTCACTTCTGTATCGAGATTCAATAGAACTTGATGAAATGATTCCAGAACTACCATTCTTTGTTGAAGTTGGCTCTGCACAAGATGATGATGATACACTGGAATGTCCGGGATCCTTAAATTTATAGAAGTGAAGAATGGAAACATTACTATTACTGCTTCTTCGCTGTTCTGAATTCCCAGCAGAAACATGGTCACCAAAACTAGGTGAAGTGCTTGTTGTTGTAGAAGAGCAATCTGTGTCCATCATCATTATCCCATCACCGACGGGTGAAATTATTGTAGCTGGAGTACAATTTGCTTCCTCAGCGCAGGGTGAACTAATTGAACAATCATTTATAACCTCATCCATTTCCTTAGACGAGGATATATCACGTTGAGCACCAAGTTTTAGCTTCATTAGAGTAGCCTCTGAATCAAAAAAAATGAGGGCAATAATTTCATCAATTAAGCAAATTATGCAATGCACACAACCACTGTGCTTCCTAGCGATTGTATCTGAACTTGCAGAAATTAAACATGGGTCGATTTTTATTTTTTATTTTTATTTTTCTGAAAATTGAAATCCTCAACCTTAATTCTCTTTAGGTGAATTAACAAACAATCGAAAAAATATGCATAGAGAGAGAGAGAGAGTGTGTACCATAGATAGAGAAAGAGTCATCTTTGAGAATCTTGGAAGGAGGACCCTCCAAGCTGTCCAGCGAAGAAGTCGAAGCCCTAATTCTGCCGAACATTTCTAATTGCTCGTCGGTTCGATTCGGTTCGATCCGATCCGGGTCGGGTCGTTCGCAGAGACGAGAGATAGCTATAAATAATAGAGAGAAGTGTAGATTTTGTTGGCGCCGTTTGGATTGAATTTCAGAATTAAAGCGGGAATCGAACTGCACGGAGTTCTTTTCTGTCATTTTTTTTTTTTTTTTTTCGTTTTCAAAAAAGTCAAGGTCAAAACCTAACAAAAGTCCAACTACTCAGATTTCTGGGCTGGGCCTAAGCCCATTGTATACGAGATTGGACAAAAAAATTCTTCCTAACTATAGATGTTTGGATAAAAAACAAATTCAGGATTGGTTCTTACAGAATTAGTTGCTTAAGCAAGGTCTGGGTTCAAATTCTTATAAATGTAAAAAATTCATATTGGAAGAACTAACCCGATCATAACGTGAATATTTTTGATTTGAACAAAATTAAAGGATACTTATAATTTATCTAAATAAATAAATAAATAATGAAGGAATTACTTAAATGCAGCATTATAAAAGCTCGGTCGATATTCATGAATAAGTTGATGGGTCTTCGAAATCTCTGCTTTTCTTAAAATTTTCCGTATTATGATCCGAACTAAAAATATGTTAAAAAATCTCTTCAAAGTGTCTTAGTCAAGTAATCAATTTTTTTTAAAAATAAATTATTCATATACTAGAATGACATTTCGTTTAATTGGCTCCCTTCGAAGACATGGGGTCTTAAAACCACCACAATTTGAACGGACTCTAAAATAATCTTTTAAAATCTTAATTGATTACCACGTGACTTTTTTTCAATCCTTTAAAATCCTAATCGAATACTAACGGATTTTTTTGTCCAAAAATAATCCATTAAAATTCTTTAAAATCCCAATTCAATACACCACCCCCCTTAATCATATTTCCCAAAATTTCAAATAATGGTAATGCAATTAATATTGTCTAAAAAACATGTCATGTACAATCCCAGAACATTCTTTTAAGTTTTTAGTGTTTGTACATACGAGTTATATGTATATAATTCAGTTTCGTTTAGTTAGAGTTCGTTATGCCGGAAACATTAGTTGGTTGAAAATCAATGTAGTCTTCAGTTGCTGTAATGGCAGTGCAGCTATGTATATGCTATATAGCCATCGTGTATCCATAGAGTAATTTCCTATGCAATTCATTTTTCACTATCTCAGATTTGCAACTTAACAAATATATCAAAATCTACCTGGTGAGAGGCATTACAAAATCTTATTGTGATCCCCATCATTGTCAAACCTATACACCTCATTGAAGAGAAATAATTTGTATTTACCTTTCCTCATTGTGTCACACAAAGAATTGAGGAGTTAATCAACAAACTAAACGCAGATAGATTGATCAAGACCTGCAACTTTAGTCTCTCCAAAGTAATTTTTTTTCTAAACCGCGTCTGCCACCTCTGAGCTTAACATCCTTACCTGTGGAAACGTCAAGTGAGCTCAGAATTAGATATAGCTGGTTTATTAGGTTGGAGAGATATCTTAATATGAAATAGACACATCAAAAATGACAAATGAATGAAAATATTAGAAAACATGTAAGGCATGCCGTTTTGAAATGAAAATAGAGATTATCAAAAACTAAATTAATCTTAAGGTTTATTATTGCCATCTATTTTGAAGTGCCTGTAAGAGTTACAGTGCCACCTTTTAATCTGCCAGCTCGAGACAAAGCTTCTTCTGCAATGGGTCTCCACTGTTCTGCACAAGAATAATTGATTCCGAGTCCAACGCTAAGTCCCCTCAGTAGATGCACTGTCCGAAGTACAGAAAACAGTTCTTCTGGAAAAGCCTACCGTAACCAGGCACATGAAGAATAGAAAATTTAGTGAAGAAAAAGTAGTACCATAAAATATTAACTAGTTATTTCCTGCTTATTCCGTTACTAACTATGAATATCACACTTACGTATGCATCAATATTTACTCCATTATTTAATTTGATTCAATGCCAACATATTTTCTTCTACTAATTAAGGTTTGCCACCAACATCAGACGAGAAATAGGCTAGAATTTTTCATATTTTAGTTAGTACCACATTATTAGTACAAAGGAACATAGACTCATCAATAAAATCAAAATATCATATTTAACTGTTTGGACATTTTCTTAGAGTTTATGAGGGATACTAGCCTCCCTAGATTTGTTCCTATTTAGTTGGCTTTTGCCCCTTTTATTTACCCCTCAATATATGTATTATGTGTGTATGTGTGTATATAGTGTAAGAAGTCTTACATTCAATCTTAACTGTTGATCTATATGTATATGATGACTGTAATTTATTGGGAATTTTAGTAATTAATCAATGGGTATAACTCAATAAATTACAACTTATATCGGTATATATTGATCCTACCCCTATATATATATATATAGGATATTGTGCTTACCTTGTGTCTACTTTTTTTCATGCCTACTCTACCTACTCATTTCCAACACCATTAGATCATAATATCAACTAACCTTCACTCTTTCTCTCTCCTCTTAAGATTCTGATCTAAAAGTGTTGGAAATGAGTAGATAGAGTAGGCATGGAAAAAAAGTAGGCATAATATCTTATCTCATATATATATATATATATATATATATATATATATAACGGGGCGAACCGGAGTAGTGGTAAAACTGTTCTTTCATGACTGAAAGGTCATGAGTTCGAATTCAGGAAACAGTCTCTTTGCAATTATGCAAGGGTAAGGCTACGTACAAGGATTTCCTCCACCCCACGCTCGCTAGTCAGGTTTAACAGAGAGTGGTTTATATATATATATGGGTTCGTCTTTTCTACAGTTAATGTAGATAAGTTATCTATATTGAGCCCAAAACGACGTCGTTTTGGTGCGAAAATCAAAGTATTTTTGTAATTATAATTTATTTCAGGGTTATAATAGTCTTTTTCATTATATTTTTTTTATTTTTTAACCAAAAACAACATCATTTTGGGAGTGAATGTAGATAAGTTATCTACATTCACTGTAGAAACATTAAAGCCTATATATATATATATATATATATATACTTAAACCTCAAATTTTCCTCTTTTTTTTTTTTAACTTTAATCATCCTGGGATTAACTTGAATATTTTTTTTTTTTTGGGTGGACAATTAACTTCTATTTACCCGTAAGTAACACCTCCCACACCTCAATCTCAGGTTAACAAACTCAATGTGCAACTGAATAACCTGACAGATTTCATACACTGACCTCTCCCCTTATTGATAAAACCAAATTGTTTCCCACATTAAAAACACTAATATAGATTAAGTCATTGAGTAGCATTTTTACCAGTAGATATCCATGTCACATCAAGAATGTGTGATGTTAATTCCTAATCAACGACTAAGATTGAATGTAAGACTTCTTTTTCTTATGTTGGTGTAAGTTGATCCTATCCCTATCTATCTATCTAAATATATTACCTTGGAAAACATCAAATTTACGTAAGCCCCCCTTTTTCTGGCTTTAATCCTCCTGGGATTAACTTCTTTTTACCCGTAACTAACACCTCCCCCACCTCAATCTCAGGGTTATAACTTCAATGTGCAACAGAATAACCTGACAGATTTTACACACTGACCTCTCTCCCCTTATTGATAAAACCAAATTGTTTCTCACATTAAAAACACTAATATAGATTAAGTCATTAAGTAGCATTTTTACCAGTAGATACCATGTCACATCAAGAATGTGTGATCTCTGGGAACAAATGGTGAATGGAAATTTGGATTCTAAAGCATACCTGAACAGCAATTTTTTTTATTGAAGATTCTTCTGAGAAAGGTTGCAGCATTTTCACCCCAGGAGGCAATTTTGTATCAAACATTGTCTGTGCCAGTTTAAGCATTTCTTGTAGCTCATTTTCACATTTGCTTAAAGTGTCTATACCAAGCTCCCTATGAAATAAGAGTAAAAGAAGTAGTTAGATCATTTGGTTTGAACATAACCACTGATCAATCATTGTCTTCAATTCAAAATTATTAAGTTAAAAAGTCCACTATACTCCAATGAAGTCCATATTTCACATAATCTAAATTAATTTTAGCAGTAAACCATTCTGGTGAAACATTATAATATCTATGGTGACGCTAGCACTAAAATACGAATTTTTAACTTTAGGAAAAGGAGGGTCATGTACGAGGCATATACTATTGGTGTTAGATTTTGTGATTAAGGTTTACTATGCAGTTTAACCCAATCAGGATTTGATATCAATTCAAGGTATGTAACTTCAATTTTAGTGAAGATAAATTGAGATTCAAGTCATGGCTTCTTTGTCTGGGTATAATGAGGACAATATAGAAAGCCATCAAATTGATGTTGTAATGAAGAATTAAGTAATTTAGATTTTTCATATTTTTCCAACATTCCCTTTATCTATTTATTTTCTCCCCTCTCGTGTTATTTATCTATGTTTCTCTCCTCTTATTTCTCACATCTGTTGGTAACCTAACTCATTATATTCTCCATCAATTATTCCTTGTTTGCATTATCTAATCCCAGCAGTACCACCAGTGTAGTTTGTAACTAGGTATCAGCTAAGCCATCTATTTCGGATCTTATTTTCAACAAACAAGAGAAGAAGCATTTGATAGATAAGACTTAAATGTAAATTTCAGTACCTAAAGCTCTCTGAAGCTCTTAATGGGTCACCATCAGCCATTGCAAGAACTAGATTAGCATAACCAAGCCTCAACTGTTCTGGGAGATCCTTCACCTGCCCATAGTCTAGCAAGGCAACCTGACTCGAGGGATGATACTAACATTAGGGTGGTTAAAAGTTAAAAAGTTATATCAGGTATCAGGATCTAAAACTAATTTTCAATATTCTACCCCAACTCATTTCCATATGGAATTACTCTTGATTAAAACATCTTTACAATAACAGTAGGATACTCATCCATAGAGAGACAAAATAACATTTAAGGAGATATCAGTAAAGAAATATAGCTGATGACTTGCCTCTGATCCTTTACAAATCAGGATATTTCCTGGATGAGGATCTGCGTGGAAGAATCCACTTTTCAGAATCATTTGACCATATGCTATAGTCAAGCTTTGAAGAATTTTCCTGCACTTTCATAGGAAAGTTAACAGCATAATCTACATGCATAAGTATGAAGAATCATCTATGCTATGAACCTTTGGGGAAAGGCTGGTGTTACTGTTATTAAAATTTAAACATCCCCTCCATGTTATCTGATTCTCAAATCCATGGACATCACCCCAAAAATTCAGATCAAATCCGTTTAAAGTTGAATGAGGGTCAAGATTTATCAAATTTGTCCTAGTCTTACAATATGTTGATTTGAGGTTCAACATCAGAAGTATAACAATTTTGTTAGCAATGGTTTGCACCAAAATTAATGGCTTAATTATTTTAAAAGTATAGATTCAATTAAGAATCATTAAGCATACAAAATTTGATTATGAAACAAACAATCATTGGGGGAAATCAACGTCAAGCAGTTCCAAAATTCTATCATATTCCCATTTTCGATAGTTGGAGTTGAAAGAAAATTGTTTTGCTTGTTTGTTGCAGAGGTTTTGGCAATAACAAATTTGTGGCAATGTAAAATTTACTCAATTCTTTGGTGCATTTAGTTGGAGTTGAATGCTCACATCTTTAAGGGTGTCTTGTAATCTTGTTCTCTTCAACTCATTATGGTATAAGATTATATTATGACTTCTTGATGACGATCTGCTCATGGTTTGTTATAGGAAGTGGCCATTTCTGACATAAATTTTATTCTTGTTTATCCTGTCTTTTCCTTTTGGAGGATATCCTATCCTCTCCCCAAGTCTTACTTTTGTTCTCATTAATTTATTTTGTTTATATTAAAAAGACACCAATTTGCTTGGTATTAGGTAGCAACAAGAATTTTACTAGGCTTGCATAGATGAGAGTATATTGTATCTTGTATGGTATCATCATTTCAAAACTATAGTTAAAAATCTTTGCATGGCGGCAAAATCTCCCCCAGATATCATAAGGATTTAGAGAGGAAAGCTAGAGTTGTCAAAGAAGTAATGGACTAATGAGTGATAGTCAATAGAGTCACCCCAGTCCCTCAATCCCCCACTCATCCACGACTACAGACCCAGGGAAAAAATGGGGTTAATTAGGTCATGTATAGGAGTAGATTGTTCTTTACAAATACTAAACAATTTCCATAACATCATATCTGATGAACATGCTGATGGGTAGAAGGAGACCAGGGCTAATTGCAGAACAAAATTAACTTTGTGCAAATAGGGGAAGGAAATTAAAGATATTGTCGTGAGAAAATGTGTAAAAAAGATAGGCAGGAGAATAAGAGAATGATAGGAATTAGGAAGAAAGGAAGTGGAAGTCAAATTACAGGAAAGAAGGTTAAGAAGACAATGAATGAATATGTTTATTTTGACGATTCAAAACAGACAAGAAAACTGAAAGCCAATGTCAAAAGTCAAAATTTGGTTCTTGTATAAGTCATTAACTAAAACAAAAGAGTGGTGTAGAGGACTACTTTTAGGATAGCCCAAGAGCTCTTACTGCTTTGCTACTGCTGCAACCTTACCACGAGGATTTATGCCTCTCTTTGCTATTTCATCACCAAGTTTCATTATTGGAATCCCATCAATATATTCCATGACTAGGACCCTTCTGTACAATCAAAGAAGCACATCATTACTAAAAAAAGTCATCACAAATGAAATACATGTGTACCAATATATCTGAGTAAAAACTTAACCAAGTGCATAAATAAAAATATTATAACTTTCTTGGTCATTTGACCAAAGATTGAATGTGTAACACAAAAAAAAAAAACATTTTGCCATGCTGGATAGTTTTTTCTTCAATGTTTTCAGTTCAACCTTGTTTTGATCAATAAATGGGTTTTCATAACATATCACATCAGTATATGTCTGCTTGATTCATAACAGAGCAAACAAAAAAGTTAATGATGACATTCTTGATTCACAGGATAGAATTATAGATCCAGACAACAAGTTTGTGCACAAACTTAACAGTGCACTACCATTCAAGCTCTTCAATTACTTTACAGTTAATATTTTGTTCAAAAACTGAAATATTACCTAAACTATCCAATTAGTAAAACTAGTTTGCCAAAAAAAAACTCACGAGATGACAGAAAGAAATTAGTAATGCTAGGACTAATTGGCATTTAACATGTAATTTTGGACTTTAGAGACAGAAGCTAAATAGAAAACATCAATCATTTATTTTTTTTATTTTTTATTTTTGGTGAGGAACATCAATCATTTCTAAAACAGCCACACACTTCAAGTCGAATACATAAATAGCGGGCACTCCTCTCTGAAAATAATATAGTAAGTTAAGCATTCTACTCCGTCATTAATGTTATATAATCCAGATTACATGTGATGCTGCATAACATACCTAGTAACCATATCTCGTATTACTCTTGGCACCAAAACAGGAGTCCTTTTGTTATTTTCATACAAGAACTTTCTAATCCTTTCCATTGCATTAGCCTCCCTCATGAAGTCAAATTCATATCCAATCTACAACGTCACAAATTATCAAGTAGAAGTTCAGAAATAGTCATGGTGTAGATTGCAGGAAGAACCCCAATATTAACATGACAATGAAACTATAAGCATAGAAAAGAAACTATATGATTCAACAAAAAAAATTTAAGACAACAATGTGACTTGTTCAAAAGCACAAAAAACAAATAAGGTACAAAAGGTGAGATACGTTGGAAACTTCCTTACCACTCGGTTGGATAATATTCATTTTAACGCACGACATGTTTATAGTATGAATTGCATCCAAAATTCATCAGTCATACATTTTACACTTGGGTGGTGTTTGGTTGGGAGCTTTTCAGCGGATATCTATGTTTCTCAAGTATGACTTTTAGAAACACCATGTTTGTTTCAACGTATTTTCACCAAAAACCCATCTATCCAATTTGTATGGATTTATGAGAAATGTTAGAATATTAGATATGATATGATTAGATATGATTAGATATGATTGGATTCCGTCTTATCCGTAAATATTCTGATTGTATTCTGACTGTATTAGGATTAGGTTTGGGCCTTTCACTTAAGCCCATTAGGGTCTCTATATATTGTAACTCTCTGACACAGATCAATATACAACATATTATTTTATATTCAAGTTGGTACCAGAGCTCTTTCGTTCTGGGAACCCTCGCTTCCGCTTAGAAACCTGTTTTTTTGCTTTAAAACCTAAGCCCACTGCTTAGGAGTCCTCTTTCTTGCCGTGCGTCCTTCCGGCAAGCCTTCTAGGGCTGTAAACAGCCTCTGAGTGATTTTTCCAAACGCGTCAGCACCTCCGACGGCCATCGGAACCACCGCCCCCCGTCAGAATCACTGTTCAGGCAACCGGAGACTTTTTCCGGCGACTTTTCCGACCAAACTTCACGCGATCAGGACCCTCTCTTCCCGGCGACCAGGTCTGTGGTGGTCCGGTCAGCAACGCATCTCCAACGCGCCGTCACGCGCCACCTGTCTTCTCTGCGCGTGGGCTTTACGCGCCACCTTCTGCCGACGCGTGAGCACTATTCCGGCGGCTTTTTCCGGCCGGTCTTGGACAGAGCAGCTCGCCTTCTCCTCCCCTTTCTGGATCTGTGATTGTTTCTCTGTGGGTCTGACCTTAGACGCGTGGTTCTTCTTGATTGGATATCGTTTGCCTTCGTTTACGGCTTTTATATTTTATCTTTAAATGGCAGCAGCATCTCCTGATCTCTCGGAGGTTAACTCTCCTTCTATTGTTGCAAATATAGCTCTGTCAGACAATGCATCATTTGGTTCAGGTTCGGACTATGCTGCACTCCAAACCCCTCTCAGGAAGGCTTCTCCTCAGTCTCAACCTTATACTGGTAATCCCGTTGCTTGTGTTTCTCATTCTACATCACTTGGCACTTGGATATTTGACTCCGGTGCTACCGATCATCTCTGTGGTAATAAGGAACTCTTTACATCTCTTACTTATTCTGATCATTTACCGTCTTTTACCCTTGCGGATGGAACCAAAGCCCCAGTTCGTGGGATTGGACAAGCTCGTCCGACCTCTACCTTGGCCCTGACATCTGTCTATTACATTCCTGGCATCCCTTATAACTTAATTTCTATTAGTAAGTTGATCCACTCCCTCACTTGCACCATTACTTTCTCTAACCATTCTGTTTCTGTGCAGGATCCGGGTACGGGGAAAATGATTGGAGTGGGTCGTGAGTCACGGGGGCTTTATTATCTGGATGTGCCTCGTCCTTCAGTAGCATGCTCTCTCACAGAATCTCCACAACTTATCCACAGTCGCCTTGGTCATCCAAGTCTTTCAAAGTTGCAGAAAATGGTTCCTCTTTTGTCCGGTCTTCAGTCTTTAGATTGTGTGTCATGTCAACAAGGGAAGCATACACACTCCTCTTTTGCCAGTCGAGTCAATAAACGAGCTGATGCCTCTTTCTCTCTTGTTCATTCAGATATCTGGGGTCCAAGTCGTACCTTGTCTGTATTAGGTTTCCGGTATCTCGTTACCTTTATTAATGATTTTTCCCGTTGCACTTGGACCTATTTAATGAAAAATCGTTCTGAGTTATTTTCCATTTATAAAAAGTTTTCTACTGAGATCCATACTCAATTTGGTGTTTCTATTCGTATTCTACGTAGTGATAATGCTAAGGAATATGTTTCTATTGATTTTTCTAATTTCTTGGCCACACAAGGTACTTTACATCAAACTACTTGTCCTCACACTCCACAACAAAATGGGGTGGCTGAACGTAAAAACAGACATCTCATTGAAACTGCCTGTACCCTTCTTATTCATATGCAGGTTCCCCTTCACTTCTGGGCAGATGCTGTACTCATCTCTTGTTTTCTCATCAATCGCATGCCTTCATCTGTGCTCCACAATGACATTCCTCATAATCTATTGCTTCCAGATGTTCCTCTTTATCCTCTAACTCCACATGTCTTTGGTTGTACTTGTTTTGTTCATGATCTCACTCCTGGTAAGGATAAGTTAACATCCAAAGCCTTTCAGTGTATCTTTCTTGGTTATTCTCGTCTTCAAAAGGGTTATCGTTGTTATTCTCCCGACCTTAAGCGTTACTTAGTTTCCGCTGATGTCACTTTTCTTGATCAACAACCCTTTAATTCTATCCCATCTCAGATGTCACAGGTTGATCATGTACTTCCTGTCCCTTTTCTTGACTTGTCTTTGCCAGCTGCAGGTGCTTCTATTCCAGATGAGCAACCTATTGCTTCTATACCTGAGGACCGTCCACTTCTCACCTATCAGCGTCGCAAAACTGTGCCTCCTGTCGACTCGACTCTTGCTGACTCATCGCCCACTGCTGTTGCTTCTTCCCCTCCGGATCCTTCATCAGAGACTCTTCCCATTGCTCAAAGAAAAGGTACACGTACTACTCGTAACCCTTATCCTCTTTATACCTTTTTGAGTTATGACCGTCTTTCTTCACCTCATTTCACCTTTGTTTCTAGTCTTTCTTCTATTTCTATTCCTAAGACCACAGGTGAAGCACTTTCCCATCCAGGGTGGCGCCAAGCAATGCTTGATGAGATTACTGCACTTCATTCCAATTGCACTTGGGACCTTGTTTCTGCTCCTCCAGAGAAGTCTATAGTTGGTTGTCGCTGGGTTTTTACTGTGAAAGTTGGACCTGATGGCCATATTGATCGTCTCAAGGCACGTTTAGTTGCCAAGGGTTTTACTCAAATCTTTGGCCTTGATTATATCGATACATTTTCTCCGGTCGCTAAGATGGCGTCAGTCCGCCTCTTTCTTGCCCTTGCTGTTGTTCGTCACTGGCCACTCCTTCAACTTGACATCAAAAATGCCTTTCTTCATGGTGATTTACAAGAAGAAGTTTACATGGAGCAACCACCTGGTTTTGTTGCTCAGGGGGAGTCTGGAAAGGTGTGTCGTCTTCGGAAATCCTTATATGGTCTCAAGCAGTCTCCTCGAGCATGGTTCAGTCGCTTCAGTTCTGCTGTTCAGGCGTTTGGCTTAATCCGCAGTAAAGTTAACCATTCTGTGTTTTATAGGATTACATCTCCTGATAAGTGTATCTATTTGTTAGTCTATGTTGACGACATCATTCTCACCGGAAGTGATCAAGACGGAATTCGTCAGTTAAAACAGCATTTGTTTAGTACATTTCAAACAAAGGACCTTGGGAAGCTGCGTTACTTCTTGGGAATTGAGGTGGCGCAATCCAGACAGGGCATTTCTATCTGTCAAAGGAAATATGCCTTGGATATCCTAGAAGAAACTGGTATGTTGGGGAGTAAACCAGTTGATACACCTATGGATCCTAATGTCAAGTTATTGCCCGGACAGGGGGAGCCGTTATCTGATCCTGGACGTTATCGGAGGCTAATTGGGAAGCTCGACTATCTTACTGTGACTAGGCCAGATATTTCTTTCGCTGTTAGTACGGCTAGTCAGTTTCTTGATTCCCCTTGTGATTCACATTGGGATGCTGCTGTGAGGATCCTCCGATACATCAAAGGAGCACCAGGAAAAGGTTTGTTGTATTCAGATCAGGGAAATACAGAAATTTGTGGTTATTCAGATGCTGATTGGGCAGGATCACCCTCGGACAGGCGCTCTACTTCTGGCTATTGTGTCTTCTTTGGAGGAAACTTAATTTCGTGGAAGAGCAAGAAACAACCTCTTGTTGCTCGATCTAGTGCAGAAGCTGAGTATCGTGCAATGGCAAATGCTACCTGTGAGTTAGTCTGGTTAAAGCAGTTGATTCAGGAGCTTCATCTTTGTGAACAGAAACAACCCATGACACTCATCTGTGATAATCAAGCTGCGCTACATATATCCTCTAATCCTGTCTTTCATGAGAGGACCAAACATATAGAGATTGATTGTCACTTCATTCGAGAAAAGATTCAGTCAGGAGAAATCAAGACTGCTTTCGTCAACTCCTCTAATCAACTAGCGGATGTTTTCACTAAAGCTCTTAGAGGTCCTCGGGTTGAATACATTTGTAACAAGCTTGGTGCTCATAATATATACGCACCAACTTGAGTGGGAGTGTTAGAATATTAGATATGATATGATTAGATATGATTGGATTCCGTCTTATCCGTAAATATTCTGACTGTATTCTGACTGTATTAGGATTAGGTTTGGGCCTTTCACTTAAGCCCATTAGGGTCTCTATATATTGTAACTCTCTGACACAGATCAATATACAATATATTATTTTATATTCAAGTAGAAACATAGATATCCGCACTGTTTAGAAACCCAATTTGAAGATGGGATTTTTCGGAAAACCGGTTATCTGGCTTTTAATGCACTGTTGATTTCATAAAGTTACCTAATTTTCCCAGTAAAGTTTTTCCCCACCAAACAACTTTTTTTTACATTTTTCTACCTATCTCACTTTATCTATCTTTCTAATCATTTCTCTATCTATTACATTTCCCTACTGTTCCAAAAAATTTCCTCAACCAAACGCCCCCTTGATGAAGGTACACAGTATACTTTGTTCTTAATAGGAACTTGTACGTAAATCTGTAATTGAAAAATAAATCCAGTATTGTATTCCTACTTTGATTAGGAAGCTACAAATCAGTAAACCAACAAAACGGGAAGTAAAAGGTCGGAATCAAATGACCCATGTAGAATAATAAAATTAAAGAAATCTAGCAAAAAATTAATGTCCACCTGTTTTTCCATTTCCTTTGTCACAGAATATAGATCAAACTTGATATCAGTCTTTTGCATGTACAAAGCAAAAGCTTGCAAGTTATGGATATCCGTCATCATCAGATCCTGAACTCCAGGATGTTGAACCTATTATATGCAAAAGAAATCAGAATCAGATGTTTACTGGTGTCATGAATCCATAAGGCTTATCAGGTTCATTTACCTTGACAACAACATCACTTTTATCACCTCTCAGTCTTGCTTTATGAACCTAATACAAGCACAAGACATATGTCAGTTACATGGTATTAAATCTTCATAAGAATTTACGATTTTTATGAAATATACTTGTTTTACTGAATAATTACCCTTCTGAGGATTTAAATGTGATATGAACATAAGTATGAACTCCGCAAAGCAATGCAAAACTTTTTACAGTGCTACTTCTATTAAAAAAAAGGATTTACAGTGCTACAATTCCAAAGAGGTTTTTACACTTCAATATTATTCTGCCACCAACCAAACTGAATTGCATTGGCATAACTAAATAGAAGTTTAAATAATAAATAGAAAGAAGAGAAAAAAAAATTTGTTTATAAATAGGATAAATGGCAGGACTTGTTTAGTTTCCCAGACATAATCCATAAGTCACCCTTAATTAACATAACTTATGTGCTTAAAGGAAATGCAAACTGATGGACAACACAGTGGATGCTTACTAAACCCACTCTAACTTCAAGAGTCACCTTAATGCACTTAATTACAAATATATAGAACTATCTAAAAACCGTCGCATATGCACCATCCACGGCATCAATGATTATATGATAATCTACCCAACTTTCACAAAGAGCACTAGGTAAACCTGGCATCCCTTCAGCCAATCAATCATCACCCAAGCCAAGCAATCCACTACACAACAAAGGATTCCCATCTAGAATATTCTCCTACAACAACATGGACACGTGTTATCTTCTGATACTGTAACAAAATCTCAGATAAATCACTACAAATCATGGGAGACAGCACAGTGTACACCCCTCCCAAGGTACCACCTATCCACAAAGGTGTCACCATTGCCCCTTATAAATAGCGGTGACCTCACTTATTTTCAGGTGTTTCTCCTTCCAACCTAAACAACTAACCACCTTTGTTACACACTAACTTGGACATTTGAGTGGCCTTGCAGGTACCCCCAACCACTATGTGTAGCTGAGCATAGACCCTCCAATTGCAGCTGCCAGCAGCTGATCCAACACCCCCCCCCCCCCAAACAAACTCTTGTTATCCATAACTAGTGTCCTAACATATCAGTGCAAGCATGCATAAACATGAATTCTTGAGGGAAAAACAATATTGATCAATTTCTGCAATTCAAAAAATGATCATTATTCAGGGCAGTAATAGGATAGCATGTGAGAAGTTTCACTTGAACCTGAGCAATTGAAGCAGAACCAAGGGGTTGCATATCGAACCTCTCGAACACATCATCAATACCAAGTCCCAGCTCATTCTCCAGCACTAGTTTCACGGTGTGAAATGGGGTTGCAGGAGCCTGATCACATAGCGTAACAAGCCTTCTCACCCATGCAGCCGGGGCCAAGTCAGGCTTCCCTATAATTTGGGCAATCTGTTTTATATTTTATATAACATCAAACATGTAAGATGAGCAATACAATAACAACAGAAATAAAAAAAAATCATCAGTAAAATGAGCGGCAAGGAAAGGAAAAAAAAAAAATCAAACAAACAAAACACAAATCACAAAAAGTCCTCAAAAACTTCAAAGTCGCAGAGTCTATAATTTTCTCAAGAACAAAGTAAAACAAGTGAATATGTAAACCAATAGAGCCAAAAGGTAAAATTGGAGTTTGGGGGTTTGACATAAAATTCTAAAACGACAAAAGAAACATTGGGGACAAGGAAAATACAAATTTGATGAATGAAACAAAAATAATAATAAAAAAGTTGAAATACCTTGAGGAAGAAACCTCCAAGGTCGGTGCACATGGAGAAAATCTTATCGGCAGCAAGTTCGTGCTGAGTTTCCCACATTGCTTCCCGCTTATGCACATCTTTCTCGAAATTAACTCTCAGTTGAAAAACCTGCGAATGAATGGCAATTCGGCAGTTAAAGCCAAACCATGCATAATTAAAAACAGAGATTGAGAGAGAGACCTTGTATCCAGTGTAAATATCAACGGCTCGAACCCAGAACTGGAAGGAGCGTTGCCAAGGGCGTAACTGAGAGGAGAGCTTCTGTTTCACATCGTTGAAATCGATTGGAGGCAACATGGCCCAGAATGTCGCATATGATATGAGCTTATGTTCTCAAAGTGTGGGCTCAGAGACCAGCATATAACACACACACACTCTCTCTCTCACTGTTAAGTAACTCTGTACTTTGGTTACAAGACTGGTTTCTCAGATTCAGAAGCGACAATGTAAAGGATACTCATACGAGGAACGTCCCTCGTTTAGGATTTTTGGATAAGTTGTCTCTTTTCTTTGTCCTCCCTTTTTTGGAACAACATTTTGTTTCTTTAGTCTCTTTTTTCTTTTTCTTTTTCTTTTCTTTTTTTTCCTTTTAAATGGTTAACCACAAAATAAAGGTGGATTAGTCCGTTTTTTGTGATTTTTATTTTATTTTATTTTTATAAAAGGGAACTACACGGGACATTGATATTACAAAAACTGTGCATCCCCTCTCCCATGCTGATTGCATTGTTTGCAAACCCTTATTATTATTATTTTTAATGTATTTCGTTGGTTCTTTCAACAGGAAGCTCGAAACACTGTCATCAAGTGTACAGTATAGAGTGTATTTTTATTTTTATTTTTTTTTTTTTTTGTAAATATTTTTATTTTTTTTTGTACATGTATAGAGTGTATTTAAACATGTTTTAAAATGCAAATAATTAAAACACGGGAAGGATTATATTTACAAATTAAATTATTTATAAACTCTTACAATTAAATCTTAATTATTAATTTCTGCTAATCTAACGGTTATAATTTATTAAGAATTAATAATTAATTAATAAGTATGACTCAATAAATTATATTCATTAAATTGACAAAAATCAATAATTAAAATTTGGTTGAAAGAATTTGTAAATAATTTAATTTATAAATATAACTCAGCTCTTGAAATATTTGTATTCAAGTAGTAATCCAATGAAAAAAAATCCATTTGGTTGCGCTCATTCATTCTGCAAATTAATAACTGCTCATTTGTAAAAAAAAAAAAAAAGAATTAGGAAAATATATCCGCTCATATATTAGTTAATATGATCAAATTATATAAGAGTATATCCTAATTATTTATGGGCAAACGGTGATAAAAATGAGAGAGAAAAATATTAAAATAAAAAAAAACAAAATCATCATTATTAATTTATCCATAAATAGTTCTCCCGCATAATATAATCATATTAACTAACGTGAAAAAATCCATTCCCAAAAGTTAGTGAGAAAGATTTTACAACTCCTTTACAATCTCTTACAACACAACAATTATAAAATGACAAAAAATAAGAACCGATAATTAATTTGATTTTATCTGACAATGAGAAAGGAGTGATACGAGATTAAAGGAAAAAAAAAGACTGTATATATAATCTACATCTAAAAGAAATTACTTAAAAATGATTTTATCCATATATTTATTATTCTTAAAGGCTATTTAAGATATAAATGCCAAAAGCAAGAATCAAATATAAGCAAATGTAGGAAAATACTTATAGATTACAGTTCAACGATTGCACCTGAAAATATGACGATTTTACATAAAAACGAGATTTTATATGAAAACGAGATTTTATATAAAACGGATACTATAAAAAATTGTAAAATGTAAAAAAATTATAAAAATGTAAAAACACTTGAAATATTGATAAAACATTTCAATAAAAATATATATAAAAATATAACGACAAATCAAAATTTTAACTACCATGCACGGAATACATTTCTTCGCATCACAAGTAGACTGCAAATTCAGAATATAAACTTGCTAAAATAAAATGACACCCACTGTAAAATGAAAACTATACAAAGATGTGAAGTACTATATTCGAAGGTGAATTGTAGCAATATTATTGGCAACTACGTTCCATCCTAGGTTGGTCCTCTGTTTATTAATATATCACTGAATTTGACTGTAAGTATTTTTGTGCCCAATAACTCAACCTTTCATGAACAATCCGTCAGGAAACAAAAAAATCATCTTCAATTACGCTTCAGACACAGATTAACTATACTGAAGTCAAGCCAAGGGAGGAAATTGCAATCAGAAGACAGGTTTGGGTCATATAAAATAGAGACAGGCAAATTTCAATGTCATTCTGTCCTCCGAATCCAGACAATTTATGAATCATGCATCAATAATCAGTTGTGTGTGGCGAGAAAAAGGGGGAGAGATCACAGCCTGAGCCTGATGGTCATACTAATTCAGGCAAAGTCATGGTAGGCTTTGAACCTGGTTCTATCCGATAACCAGTTCCAGTCCAGCAAATAAAGATATAAACATGGAAATCAAGAAGGAAACATGGAGAAAAAGGAGCAGAAAGCATTCCATGTCTTCCATCTAAACGTGGCACACTCACTGATAATAGAGGTTACCAATGACAAAATGTAAATAAAGAGAAACTGGCAGTCATGATATATCATATTATATCCTATACGTAAGCATTCAAACACAAAATATACTCATCATAAAAAAATAATTAAACTGTTTAAAAAAGTAATTGAAAACTGATTGAGACATTTGAATTCAGCAAGCTTGATTGTTCATTAATTTGGAAATCAAATAGACCACAGAAATGTCATGCCTCACGTCCACTTAGTAAAATGCATTCAACAGGATGTCCTTGAAAATGTCTGTATCGCTGCCTTTCCAATAAATTTTTTAAAATTGCATGAGATAGCCTAAAGATCAATCACACGTGACAATTTCTGGATCCGGTTCAATAGGAAATCCCCTTGCTTAATAGTTGCTTGGTAAAGAGCATTTTTAGCATCAGGACGGTTAGTTTCAAGAACACCTGCAACTTTATCAATCTTACAGTGAAGTTTCCCTGCTGCAATAAAACGTGACAGCTCCCTGGAAGCAAATAAATGTATTGAGCTTTCTCCCACAGCATTTAAATACTAATCAAATGCTAAACCAAAATTGAGTCTGAAATGTATTTACTTACAGATCAATGAAATCCACTGTCACTCCAAAGGCTTTTGCCATGGCTTCAATCGTCACACTCTTATAAGATTCCAAAAACTGGGAATAAACAACAGTTCTGACCTCCCTCATGTAATATCGGAAGTGTGGATGCAGATAACGGTCCAGTTTAATTTGCTCAGTCAGGCCAGCTGAAATATATTTCAAAATGAAACAAAACTATGAACATAGGATCAAACAGATAGGAATGAATTATTGAACAGCACCAAGCAGCCTCTGCTGCACATTAGATGACTTCCATAAATTCTCAAAATATAACACAAAATTAAAGCATAAAGTGTGGCCAGTGAAGAGCTAAAACTTTAAGAAATCACTACAAAAGAACTGAGATTTGGCAGATGTCTGCTCACCAAATGCTGAGAAAAAAGACTTGTATTGACAATCATATAAGGAGTTCAAAAACTCGGAAAGATATGGGATTTTGCCAATCACCGTCAAGATCTCAGGAGCATCCACTACCTGATGCAAATTAGATGAAGTTAATAATCTGGAATGTGCAGAACACTTGACAAGAAACATAAAACAACAGTGAAAAGGAAATGGATAAATAGTGAAAAGACCACATGAAAGAATCCATGTACCTTTTGCTTTAAGGAAACTCTATCCAACGTTATAATGCTTGTCAAAACTGTGTAAAATATAAAGGTGTCATAGGGAAAAAGTTCATAGGTTGTAAAGGTTGAAATAGAATCCAAAAACAATTCGGCAGCCTTCTTGAAATTTCGAGTGGACATGCAGTATAGGCCTTCATACACTTTCAGTCGATTCTTCCTTTCCCAATCACCACCTTCTTCAAACAAGCTTCCATTATAATGCAAAATGTTAAAAAACCAATAATTAACCAAAAACTATGGAAGAGGGCATAGCTACAGACATTTTTAATTCAAATACTTACTTTTTAGCTTTGTCAATGCTTTTGGAAATGAGATCAAAATCCATGTCAAAGAAACCAAGCTGCAATGTATAAAACACCAAGTCCATCTTTTGGCCAACTGCAACTGTCTTAGTTTCAGTTATCTTGAGATGTTCCAATGCTTTCTCCTGGTACATAAGGGAAAGTGTTATCAAAAATTGATTCCAGAAGCAGACAGGAAAAGGGCAATAAGTTATAATAGGTATCTATACCTTGTCCCCAATCCGGATGAATAACAAGGATTTCGCCAAGTGAGCCTCACGAACTTCACTCTCCCCTAAGTTTTCCTCAGCATCAGCAATCCTAAAATGAGGCATCCACATGTACTATCGTAAGTGCACGTACTATAAACTTACCACTTTTCAAATAATAGTTTGCATATCAAAGAGTCAGAAAATGGAAAATGAAATTATTACAATCCATCTGGCCTAGTCTCTGCATTTTTCATTCTCCTAGTATCAAGTTTTCTAGGTTTCAGAGGATATATCTTATACTCTCCGAGTTGTAAATTTCCTTCTTTTCACTCTAATATTTCCTTTTGTATCTTGAAAAAAATAAAAGAAGACCAATCTGTATTACAAAGCATGTGAATCATACATCATCACCCCAGAGAGGTGCCAAACTTCATGCATAGAGACTTTTAGCCTCTAGGAGATAACAAACATCAATAGTCATAACAATAATATAACAAAAACAACAACCACCACAACTTTAATCAAGAGAAAAAGAACGTGTCAAATATATTAGTAAAATTCAAATAAACAAATCTCATATAAGACGGTTAATTCGAAAAATAAACTTGAAGGACTATGGTTTAAGTCTTCATCACTCTGCCTTCAAAATTATGCACATCCATTCTATCAACATACAGCATTTCAAATCTAAAACTTGATGCTGTACGAAATTCCCAATCGGAACAAATTTAAAAAAAAAAAAAAAAAAAAAAAAAAACTAGGTTAAGGAAGGAAGAGAAGGAAACTCACTTTTCGTCGAGCTTGTTGAGTTCATCAGCAATTTTAGCACGCATGGAGTCGAGAAGGGCACGATCTAAGTCCAATACGGAATCGGCGACTAGGGTTTCGTATAAAGGGACCATATCATTATCCTTGACATGAGTGAAAACATCCTCTTTAAATCGAACCTTTTCAATGTCTGGCACATCTGGTTGTCTCAGAAGGAATAGCTTGTCTGCTAACACTAACTGTGGCTGCTGAGATCCCTCTTCTCCTTCCATGGCTTCTGTATTCGATTCCCAACTTTGCTTTACCTTCCACAGGCTGCAAACACACCCCCCTCTATATCACTCGCTTTTTTTCTTTTCTTTTTCTTTTTAAATCAAACTTCTTTTCCTTTTATTTATTTATTTATTATTATTTGGTTGGAACTTCAAATACAATGGGAATTGCATTGTAAATAGGTTGGATTGAGTTAGACTTTCTTTTAAAGAAATTATATATGTGTGTTATAAAAAAAAAAAAATTATATATGTGTGAAAACTTTTAGATATATCTGATTTGTTAGCCTTGTATAAAAGGTCCAAATTATAAGTCTATTCTAGTTTATTTTAAAAATAAAAGTATGGTCTAAGCCTATTAGGCTACATAAACTTATTAGAAATTTAATAATTAAAAATAAAAAATAACTTATTTATTTATTTAAAATGAATAATATAATATAAATTTATACGCTCGACATTAAAAGAAATCTTATAATTTACTTTCCAAATATGTTTTTTTAAAGCTTCGAGTTTGTTTTATTTAATTATTTGTAATAGGCTAAATATGGTTCAATGTAAGTCGAGTCAATGTTGACAAAATCGAGTTTCTATGTAGAAACAGAAGGGAATGATAGAAACATAAATAGTAAAAACATCACGAAACGTAAAGTTTTTACTACTTAAGGTCAAGATACAAAATTATATATATATACGCATGTAAAAAAATATCACATAAGTCACTACTCAAAATTCAATGAATAACTTCATATTTAAAAAATATAAGTCACATAACTATATAAGACATAATTTCAAAAATACAAAAAGAATTTATCAATTCATATAACCAAGTTCCACCATATCGAAAGAATAAAATTTAAAAACTTTTAAATGAAAATTCAATGGCCTCGCATAAGTATTTTTTTTTTCAAATAGTTAGAAGAAGATAGTGTGCATTTGATTTGCGGAAATGGAAATAGGATTTTTTTATTTTGTTTTATTAAGAATATAAAAATAAAACCAATCATGGGTTAAAAGTTGACCTGGTTTGATTTTTCGATTTAAGTAAAAACGTAAAAACTTGTGTTTCTACCGTTTTTACACGTAGTTTTTACCAATTTTTACTAAAAAGAGGTTTTACTTGCGTTTTAAGACGTATCACCTTAGTAAAAACGTAAAAATGTAAATTTTTTACATTTTTACACTACTTTTTAACAATAATGGGCTGAGCTGTAAGTCCCTAAGAAGCTCAAGATACTTGTAATAGCAAGCTCTTAAAATGAGTCAATTACTTACGAATTATTAATGGCTAAAAAAATTGAGTAATTTTTCCAATTTATTTATTTTAGGATTCATTTTTTCTACAGGCACTACAGATAAGTTATCTGCAGTAAACCTAATACGATGTCGTTTTAGGGCGGAAATCATGGTGTTTTTATAATTTTAATTTATTTCAAGGTTATTATAGTCTTTATAATTTTAATTAATTAATTTTAAATTCCAAAACGATTTCGTTTTAGAAGTAAATACAAATAACTTATCTGCATTAACTGCAGAAATATTATTCTGTTTATTTTATTATATAACAATAAATCTTTTTTCTTTAAAAAAAATCATAATATGATAAATTATACGACGAGGTACTTATATTTAGCGACATAAATAGCTAGATTGACCTATCAATTTATGAATCTTGCTATAAGTTAAATTACAAATGAGATCTAACCCATCTTTAAAAAGTAAAAGGCATAACCTATTAGTCTTTTTAATTCTAAAAATTATAATAAGCTTTCAACCTCATAATCCTATTTATCTATCGGTTAAAAAAAAATTCCTAGAAAAAAAAAATTCAGCCGAAATATTATTGTTTATTAATATAAATCAAAAAATAAATATTTTTATTTAAAATTAAGAGATATATTTCTAAAGAATTTAGGTCAGATTACATGTTTATTAGTCAATCCTTAGATTTATAGCCTGATTTTTAAATAAATATATTTTTAAATTTATGTCGAAACAGAACAAGTTTAGTGTAAGCAGTATTTTACAACTCAAACTGGTCTTCGACTTGGTTGAAGTATTAGGTCACGAGGCCATTGGTTCAACTGGGTTCAACCAGATATGATGTACATATATTAAAAAAATTAATTATATTACTTATATTAAAAATTCACGGAAGAAAACTATCAATAATGGAAACTTCTTCGTATTACATTGATGAATAAAGAGGCAATACATTATGCAACAGGCAAAGGTACCCATATCACAATAAATATTATTTCAAGCTCACTGGGTTAGACTGCTACACAAAAAGTCAAAAAGGATTGTAATTTTCATTGCTTAAGGCCAAAGTTTATGCAGGGATTTATCTAATCACTGTTGCATGCTATAGGCTTTCACTACATTAATAAAAGAAAAAGGTTCCATAATACCTTTATAGCTACCGAAAATGACCATGGTCGTTTTCAATCAACAGCAAAAAATGTCAAAGTTCTTATCAACAACATCAAATAAAAAGCAAGAAATAATTTGACACAAACTAAAATAGAGTGATACCAAGATTTAAAACCCGTGAACTAAAAATATAAAAAAAAATTAAGAAAAATAAACATAGTGACATGTCCAAATCGAGTTTTGTATAATTCCTCGAGTCACTAGATCCAGCCTACTCGACCGGTCCAAACTAAATTGATTGCACAACCGGTCCAAATAGCATCTTGGACCTAGAAACTCATCGGGTTACCAAGGTCGACTCGCTTAGTATGAATTGATTTTTAAAACACTAAGTGTAAGTCAAATTATATTCACCTTATATGTCACCTCTGTTTACAAATCAATTTTTTTTTTTTTTTGTAAATAAAGAGGGGCTAAGCTCCAGAAACAGAAAGAAATTACAAATCAGAAACTAACAAGTTAGACATATTTCTAGCATCAGCAACTATAAGTTCCATCAACTAAGGAGGAGGATCTTTAAAAATCTTGAAATGGAGATTATTAGTCTGTCCAGCTTTAGCTAACCAATGAGCACATTTGTTGTTTTCTCTCTTGGTATGAACAAGATGAATAGTCCAATCTGCTTTTAACCATAATCTCAATCTGCTAGTAGTGACTTGAGAGTCCCTAAGATCTTCATGCTGCTCCTTTAACATCTGGATGGCTTGGCTAGAATCACATTCTAGCTCTATTCTTTTTAATCCTGTTCCCCAAAGCAGTTCCAAACCTTTTAGTAATCCCCATAATTCTGGATCAAGAGGATTGCATGAACCTAAATTACAATAGAAGTTTCCCAAAAAAGATCCATTGTGATCTCTTAATACCACCACAACTAACTTTTTTCACGCCACTAATGTTGGGAATGGCAAATGAAACGAGTTACTGCAATAAATAATAATAATAACAAGTGTTTCGAGGAAGTCTTGAATCGCTAACCTAGCTAGAAGAAAATCTCCATAATACAAACTAAATAAAAACTCAAAGTGCTAACATACATCTATCAGACTCAAGGAACCAACAAGGAAGGCCTGTACAAGCAATTCACATATAAGTCAGCTGCCCAATTGATGGAGGGATTTGGCATTGAAATTAGAAGAGAGTTACGTGATGTTAAAAAGTTTTCATTTTTTTTTCTTTCACTGTTTAACAATATGGAATATCTACATCTGGAAGTTCCCAATGATCATATTCTTCCTCATCCTCTTTCTTCTTAGGAGAATCGTGTGTACTTTGTGCTGGAGCTCTTGATTGTGGCCTCCTGTCATCCAGTGGAGCAAATCAAATGACAATATTTGCCAACAAATACACAAAGAAATCAAGGCATACCAAATGATGATAGCTCAATTGCTACATAGGAGCTCAACATAGGGTGAACATGGATGTAAATAGTTCAGGCCTAATAGAGACTTATGACTCAGTCTACATTACGTCAGACTTGGTCTATTAGACACAATCTTTTAAGAAAATTTATTTAGAAAATAAGTTATAGGTTTTCTTTTGAATGTCTACATGCAAACTTATATCATATCATATTATTTATTTAAATAAAATAAATAAAATTATTATTTTAATAATTTTGAATAATAAAATAATATTATTTTAATTATTTTTGTAATTATTAAATACATAATAGACTTAAAGAAGCTAATAGATATGAGTCAAAACTTTTTTTATATAAATATAAGTTAGATTAGATTTATAATTTGCGCACCTACATAGATTAAGTTAGACTTAAAGTATTTTACACATTGTGACCTATTTAAGGCAAATCCATCACACCTTAGCCCATTTACACTACTGGGATGATCCTCAATCTTTGGGAAGAGGAGTTTAAAACCTTTAATTCTCAACTCAATCTGATCCTCAACTTTTAATTCTGTCCATGATGTGTAATACTTTCATCGGTGGATACACTGAATTTTGGTGCAAAAATCATTTGCGAAAAAATAATTTATTGGTGTGAATGATACCAAAAAAGAATGAAGCCTCGTTAACACGACACCAAAACACAAGACAAAAATCATTTGCCACTTTCTCATTTTGTAATATAAGTAGAATTCAATAAAATATAATTTATTTATTTTTAAAAAAATAAATAAATAAAAGTGAGGAGGAAAAGGAAACCTCTTTCGGTTTCTTCTAGAAGCTTCTCGGGCTTTCCTCTTGATCTTGTCGTGTTTGTTCTCGAAGAACCTTCTCCGTCTGCATTCCTGAAGCACGCCGGCCTTGAGGACCTCCTTCTTGAAGCGATAGACGAGCTTGTCTTCGGGCTCGTCGTCGCCAACTATGATCTGGACGTTGTATGCTGCTTTGGAATAAAGAGTCGTTGAATAAGCCAGTGCTGGATACGCTATCGCTATGCCTGATATTGATAAATCACTTCCACTTCCACGCAAATATTCTGATGCTGATGCGGTGGCCGCCATCACTGAACACCACCGTGAACGTGATGACATTTTCGGAAGGCGGAGCAGTGAGGAGAGTGGGCATGGCCATGTTGAAGGGAGGAACGTTGTTGAGACCGCCATAACCGGACCCTCGACCTTCCGCCTCTGTTGGAAATGGCAGTATTGTGCTGTGGGCTCTACTTTTGGGTCCCACAGTATGAAAGGGTCACTGTAAAAGCACCATAAGTTAGACTCTTCTTGATTTTGTGCAGGTTGGCTTGGGTTTGGGCTTAGAGTTTAATCATATTTTTACTTTTTTGTTGTTGAAAAAAATCGGATTTTGGAAAGAAAGAAAAAATTAATTCTTCCTCAATTTTATTGGGATCAGGATTACCACTCATACGATACCTCCCAATAAAAAGTATATAATCAAGAATGAAACTCATGACTTGCATTTAATGCAGTTTGATTCCCAGGTTAGGTCAACTTGATTATAAGAATTCATTATTGTGCAACTTTTAACATTTTTATAGAGTATTGTAAACATCCTATTAGTGTATATAATTTTTCGCAAATATTAATACAGGCAAACCCATCTTATAATTTTTTATTTTAATTCATTAATTAAATTAAAGAAAAACCAAAATTAAACACTCAAAAAAAGATGTCGAGTCCATTTGCCCTCGACTGTTTGCATGTATTATGTATACATCAGGGGAATTGCGACTGCCTTCTGAGACATTCCATAAAATGCCTCCAAGAATGCTTTATGCGTAATCAGCAGTAAGAGTCGTTATGATTGCAAACACAATTTTACCTATTAGAAGAACAAGCCTACAATTTTAGCTGTTAGAAGAACAAGTCTCTTTATCGCTTTGGGCTGGGATCTTCTAGCTTTGTTGGTGAATTGAGATTTTTAAGGCGGAAGAAGGTCAATGTTTACATAAATTTTGAGCAAACTTGGAAATGGGTTTCCTAAATTGCTCCGCTAATAACCTCTTTCTTGGCTTAATGGACAAAAGATGTATGATCATCAAACAATGTTTTCCTGCCCTTCATCAACAACACCTCAGGGAAAGTGTGTTTGACCAGTGCGAAGTTTGATTTCCTTCATGCACTCCATAATAATTCTCCACATTTCCTTCATTGACACAGACATGCAAAGAGAATCCACTTGGAGGAAAGGCCAAAATCAACGTTATGCAGTATATCTTCCCATCTTTGTCGACCCATTCACCCTAGATGATGATTGCAACAGTCTAACCTGCAGTAATAAAAGAATTCCACATAACAGAGAAGTTTTACTTAGATGGACCATGATTTTGAGCAGGGATTAGGGCTTAGCATACGTTGTTGACACAAGATGTAACGAAAGAGTAATCATTTCTGAAAGGAAAGAGATTTAATAGAACTAGATGTGGATGAATAAAATGGAGAACTGATGCCGGACTCCTGGAGCTAATAAATTGCAGTTGAGAATAGAGTTGGAGTGAATAATGCATTACATCATAGAATGTTCATCAGTAAAGAAAACAAAGCCTCAATAAAATGTGCATGGAATGCATAGATGGATTAGTAACTAAAAATGAAAATAAATTTAATGAATTACGTTTGATCATGTAACATGGACAACGTACACACAAAATAAAGCAATGTGAAAAAGCAAGAAAATAAGAACAATAACGATGGACGGAAAGTGCATAAACAATAGATTTGAGACTCATGTCAAAGGAAGAAAAAAGGCTGTGACACCAGGATAATCAGAATCAATCGACAACCGACATGATATTAGTCCATCGTTAATTAATGACAATTTCATTGTCACTTCAGCCCATTCTGTCATGTAATTAACCAAGACGCATCCATTTAAAAGAGAATAAGAGATAAACATTACCAATCATGATGGTTTTGCTTTCCATCCGGCTTTTGAGATGCGACGAAGCTCTTGAGTTCGACTCTTCATATCACTGCAACTTTCCCAATAGCATTATGAAATATTGGTGTAGAATCGTGAATGCTTAAATAGCATTTAAAAATAAAGAAATCGTACCTTTGTACCAAATAAAGAAAAAGATAGAATACAGGAAGTAAAACCAAGATCAATGCTCCAGCAGCCAGGCGGAAGAAACTTCCTTGCTCCTGCAGAGGCAAGAAACCAGGATTCATAAATAGCAGCTTTTATGATACGTGTTTGGTTATAATAAATTAGTTATAATGAAGCTGAAATCTTCAGAACTGAGGCATCATGAATTGAAAAGACAAAAGCTAATGCCTAAAAATTTTAAAACCTTCCTGATAAGAACGGAAAGGTACTGTAACTGCAAGTTTGATGATACAGGCCCATCTCATAAAGTATATACGCGTAAGAAGTATAAGGCCCAAGTAAGTCCTGCTGAGTCAGTAATTAATCTGTCAGAAGGGGAAGGTTCTGGTACAGCTGCTCAACAGAAAACAGTTGGAGAGATGGAGCAGGAAGAGGCTGAATAAAAGGAAAGCATGTGGATTGGAGAGGGCATCTGGACTCTTGGCTTAGACTGGAACTGGGAGGGACTAAAGTCTCTCCAATTGCTCTAGAGGGACATTAGCTTACCGTTATTTCCATGTAATTACCCTTCTACATTTCCTCTGTCATTGTACTCTCAACACACATACCTTGCACTGGCCTATTTTCAATAAATACAAGTTCCTCTGTTAGTACTTTCTTTTGTGCTGGTTGATCCCTATCATTTGACCTTAGATGATGATTTGACATTAGGCCATTAGCGGGAGGCCAAAACAGGAGAGATCTCCATCAATGGGGAAGTAAAACCCAAACTACAATTGGACTTGACACCACATCTTAACCTATGAGTTTATGCATATTTCCATTTATATTGTTATGGTCCTTGCTTAGTCAATTCTTATGCAATGTGGGACTTCATTACTCATGTAACACCGCTTATTTTACACACGCAAGAAATTAGTACAGATATTTTTTTACAACATATATATGTTACTTATTTATTTTATTTTTTTTCAATTTGTCAAGTTAAGGAAATAATATGTATGGTAATAGATATATGAAGTTGTGGCTTTTCCGTTGTATCAAAGTTGAACATGTGAGCATATACTTTCAGTCAATTATTTAATATCATAGTCCTGTGTATAGGCTTGGCTTCTAGCACATGTTATTTTGCAAAATATTATTAGGAATGCATGGTTAGGACATATATAGTTGTTATGTCCCTTTATCGTTTTTCTATAATATTATTAATCATGGATTCAATTTTTTTCTCTTTCTCTATGATGTATAACCCGAACAGCAACTTCCTTTCTGGCTTTTGTACCTATTATCTTCTATGGTTTTGTGCTGCTCTTTATGGTGAACCATTTAATAGCACCCCAAACAAAAGAAATGCCAAGAGAAACATCTTCATTTCCAAAAGCACATCCAAGTAGCTTATTCCATACGCGAAGAAACAATCTACCTAGACCTTTGTGTCTCAACCTTGGCCTCGCTTCCAAATCTCATTCCTCCAAATTCTAATGATATTACTATGCTTTCCTACTGTCCACCCACTCTCGTTCAAAATAAACTTTGTTCGCTTGGATTCTGCTGAGGAGAAGATGACTTGTTGTTCCCCTTACAACTTTCTAACTGATACAACTAACCTTTGGAAGCGACGGTATCACGTTACAAGATCAACTAGCATGACTAACAATCCTAATATTATATTTTGACGACATTGGATAGAGAGTAAATAGTGGGGACTATTCAAGTCCAAACTATATTTAATTTCATGGTTATTATCTTTAATATAATTTATTTTATTTTATTATGATTTATGAACTGTGGTTGAATATTTGAGAAGCATTCCACATTGAATAATTTATTATGAAACCGAGATATGCTTATGGTTTGATTTTGAGAAATCTATATATTATGTTTTATTATTTTGAAATTGGTTTTGGGGTGTAACTTAATCAGAACACTGTAGGCTAACAGGAGTAGATGTTAGTCTTGGTGCACCATGATTTATTTATAGGCAGGGAGCCTGTGTGGACAGAAGGAAAGCGTAGTAATATCATTAGAATTTCGAGGAATGAGATTTGGAAGCGAGGCCAAGGTTGAGACACAAAGGTCTGGGTAGATTGTTTCTTCGCGATGGAATAAGCTACTTGGATGTGCTTTTGGAAATGAAGATGTTTCTCTTGGCATCTCTTTTGTTTGGGGTGCTATTAAAATGGTTCACCGTAAAGAGTAGCACAGAACCATAGAAGAGAATGGTACAAATCCAGCAAGGATGTTTCTGTTCGGGTTATACATCATAGAGAAAGAGAAAAAATCTGAATCCACAAATAATAGTATTATAGAAAAACGATAAAGGGACATCACAACTATATATGTCCTATCCGTGCATTCCTAATAATATTCCACAAAACAACATGTGCTTGATGCCAAGCCTATCCACAGGACTATGATATTAAATAATTGACCGAAATTATATGGTCACAGGTTCAACTTTGATACAACGGAAAAGCCACAACTTCATATATCTATTAGCATACATATTATTTCCCTAACTTGATAGTGATTCAATTGAAAAAAAAAAGTAACGTATATATGTTGTAAAAAAATATATCTATAAACAATACTATTAATTTCTTGCGTGTGTAAAATAACCGGTATTACACTAAGGACCATATAAATGAAATGACACATAATCCCAATGCCTTAAGGTTTTAAGTTAAGATATGGTGTTGAGATCACTTATTGTGGTTTGGATGAAGGTCTCCCATATTTTGGGCTTCCTCCATTGACCTAACCAAAAAAAAAAAAAAAAGCATTAAAGTAATGCCAATAAGGCTTTTTCCATGGACTTTGTGAATAGCACATGGCCTAAAACCTCACAACAAATATCATCTCTGAGTGGAAGTATTGATTCCCTATATTACTAAAGTTAGCAATGACAGATTTGTAATTAAAGGCATACTGATAACAAATTACCCCAATGAGATAATCAGGCCTTACCTTGCCTCCTCTAGAGAAGGGTTTATGTTTCCCTGAGCAGGTATGAGCATCACAAAATTGGTGCAGAAACAATTCTACCAGCACATCAGAAAATCACCATAAGAAAATAAATCAACAACTACCACAACATTAAAATGAAGCAATTTTTGTTTTTAAAAAAGAAAAAGAAAAAAAGAGTGACAAGAAACATGATAGTGGCACAACAAGGAGAAAACAGTAAAAGAAAACATAAGTATACCATGAAGACGGCCTGCTGATGGACCCTCACTTATAGGAAAACAACTGTCAGCAATATTCTGATCAAAGAATGCATTTGGATTAGGTAGAGTAGTTGACGCTACAATGAGCAGTCAACACAAATTAAAAAATAAAATAAAAAATGAAGGCAACCTCACATAGGTGACGGTTTCTGGCAGCAGCTGCCGGATTACATTTGCTTCTAGAGGACTTGGAACTCATCACAGCATCGCAATGCAATGCCCCACATAAATCAGCCAAGCACTTACCATGACTCTGCATTTAAATTAACCCATGAAGTAAAGGAAACAACATTGTCTGATTAAAACAAAAATATTAAATAGAACCTAAAGTAAGTGCCTGTTTAGGAGGTCTTTTTTTTAGCTTCTATTCTCCTTGTAAATAGAAGCTAAGCCAAACAGGTTTTTACAAAAGCTCTTATAATAAAGAGTTTTTTTTTATAATGAAAAAAAATAAGCCAAAAGCCCCCAGGAGGAGCTTTTTTTAAGTTGTATCAGTTTTTTTTTTTAAATGAACAGCTTTTAAGCTAAAAAATTTATATAATCATCAAACAGCTTGTAGCTTTATTTTTAAAGCTCTTTTTTTTAGCTTTAGCTTAAAAATAGCTTTTAGCTTAAAAAAGAGAGGTGCCAAACAGGCTCTAATTTAAAGTCAGACTCAAAAACTCAATGAAACTTCCAACAAGCCTATTTTCAGTCTATTGATTCGGTGTCCAATATTAACATTACTAGAACGATGATATGTAGTAGAAAATACTCAGATCAGCCAATTGTTTATTCCCACATGCCAGCAGAAGCCAAGGACTAATTTAACTTTTCCAAAGAGGACAAATACTATATTATATGTATGTTACAAGAAAATTTTAGGGAAACTTTAGAGGATGGGAGGCTGTGGTCTCTCAGCCATCACAGAGGGGGGAAACTGGGTGAACTTTTCAAAACCAGACAGCTTCACGTGAGTTTGGCTATCTATATATCTTGGATATTGACCTAATTAAGTATTTAAAAATAAAAAAAGTTTGAAATAAACGGGAAGAGGCTATAAATGGCAGCAAAAAAGTTGCGTTAGTTACAGCTTAAGGGTAGAGAACCACATTTTGACATAACAGAAATGGAAAATAATAAGAAGCATATTGAGATTTGACATTAAAAACAGTGATAGCTGTAAGGTAACATTGTTTCAGGATGAGAATTCTAGCCAAAAGAAACAGAAGATAAAGATATACTTAACAGAAGAGAATCTTTTGGTTTAAATGTCTCAATCATGAGCATATACGAGCTCTACATACAAAAAAAAAAAAAAAAAAAAGAGAGGGGGAATGGGGGAAATTAAGACTTTTAACTCATCTGATAACTGATGAAATTAAAGATGAATGCTTGCACTTCACAGTACGTATGTTCCAAACTCAGTGAGAAAAGGAATGCAATTGACATACTAGATTCAGAAGATTGTGGTGTCTGTTATCAAAATGCTGGTCAAGAAATTTTTCTCCACGGAAGCTTTTCTTACAATATCCACACTGCCATTCATGTCTGTCTATGAAAACTTTATGCTCTTCCTGATCCCTGAATACATCATTTTCAGGGTGAAGTTTGCACTTCCTTGAAAGCTGATAGTTTTCTTTTTCCACAAATGGTGTCAAATACTACAAGAACATATAAAAGAAACAAATTTGTTGAGAGAGAGAGCGAGAGAGAGAGAGAGTGAAGAGAGAAGCATATGCCGAAAAACCATGTGTAAACTACCCCACAGACTCGATATTTATATAATGATTGTGTAAAGAACCTTGGGATACACCACCCCAAAAGCTAGCTCAAAGGGTGGGAGTGCCCAAGACCTTATAAACTCCACATTAGTTGCACATACAACCAATGTGGGACTGTATATCTCAACACGCCCCCTCACACGAGAGCCTTTTGGGCTTGAAGCGTGGACAATGCAACAGGCCCAGCCTACCTGTGCTAAGAAACTCCACAAGAGAAAGTGGGGGGCGGCGAGGCTCTGATACCATGTAAGGAACCTTGGGATACACCACTCCAAAAGCTAGCTCAAAGGGTGGGAGTGCCCAAGATCTTATAAACTCGACATTAGTTGCACATACAACCAATGTGGGACTATATATCTCAACAGATTGTAATAAATACAAAAATACAATTTTTCTAATTACTATGTTTAGATGATATATTAAGCCTAGCCATTTACACTGAGCCTGTACATTTACATAATAATCCACATTTCTAATAATATTCATGAATGTGATTCCAAATTTACACCACTTCATACTGAAATGTTATAAATTTATAATGATTGCCAAAGGAGTTTTTCATACCTCCTCTATTACTTTCCAAGCTGTCCTACTTCTCTCTCTGGAGCAATGCACTTCACGAGCATGATCTTGTTCCTGTTTAAGATTTCTACAATAAAAAACACAACTAAGTTAGGATGGAACCATATGTATCTGTTTGGGAACAAGAGCTAAATATCAAAGTAAGTCATTTAGATATTTGGATGGAGTATTAATTAACAATGAATAAATTGTAACTCCATTCCAATACCTTCCACCAGAAGATTCCTCATAAACCTGGAGAAAACATTTCAAAAGAAAGATGGTGGAAAACAAGTGTTAAATTCGTAAATCTGGCACTAGAATTCAAACTCAAACGAAATGTAAGCTTAGGACTTCATAAAGATTCTAATTAAATCAAGCAAAAATTTTAACCTAACACTGAACTTGAACCCTAAAAATTCATTACTCCATTTTTCAAATCCGAAACTTCAAATTTTTTAACCAACAAAAACCAAACGTCGATTCTTCATAATTAAGCTACGAAACGCAATCTAGTGCTCACCTCAAATAAAAAAAAGAATGCTCGTAAGACATTATATACCATATAGTTTTTGTTTATTTAAAGTCCGACACGGAGGCATACGCTATTACCTGGTTTTCGTATAAGAGAGGCGACGAAGAAACATGGAAGAGTTCTTGAAAACAAAGTGTTACGATTACGAAAATTGAAACAATTGCTGTGACCTTCTTCATCTGTTACTCTCTGTTCAAACTTGTACTCTCTTTTTTTTTCTGCGAAGAGAAAACAAAAAAGTAAAAAATTTCTGGAAGGCTTGGACTTGGATGGTCGCAAATATTTTTTTTGTAAAAGAAGAGACTCTTCGTAACTAGCTTAATTATAATTTTTTTAATTTAAAAACATTATTCAACTTATTTAAGGAAAATTTAAGGTAAGCAATTACCGGACAAATAACGAGATAAATAGAGTGTGAAATTAATAAATTATTTGTTTATTGAGATAAAGGAGAGAGTAAAAGATCTTATTAAAAATATTTTTAAAAAATGTTTAGCTGTTGAGGACTTGAAGTGAATTAAATGCATTTTTTTATAAAAATAATGTTAGTCAATTAAAATATGGCTTTAATAGCTCTTCCGTTACTAAAGATGTGAAAATTTGTAATAACACTTATTTATACTAAGACACGGTTTCATATCCTAATTTTTTTTTAAGTTACAACTCCGTATCTTAATATTAATAAATTTGCTGCTACTTTTTCTAGATACAGCAATAGCAACAGTAGAAACCAGGAATCCTTAAAATATATAAAAAAAAATGTTCAAATTTTAGGCAATTAAATGTTGCCCAAGGGCCCATGGTTCTCATGTTGAAGTGAGGATACCATTGGGGTCAAAACTGAAAAGACTAGATCATCAAGTTGTGCAAGACTGCAAGTGAAACCCCAAAAGTTTACACCTAATAATACACATTTGTTTAGCTGTCCAAGAAAACAAGCAAGGAGAAACCTGGCTTTTTAAACACCTCATGTTTGATTGTTGACTTTTTTATGTAATCCATTACACGGTCTTGTAATTGATTGCATGACTCAAATTTATCATAAAATTTTGAAAGCCGTAATTTTTTACTCGAATAGGATGATTATTTTTTTATTTTATGTAATTTTTTTATATTTATACGCTAAAATAATTATCTTTTTAGTATTGTAAAGTGAAAATAAGAATATGAATTAAATAATATCATTCACAGAAATAAAACATGTCAAATGGAGTACAAGGAAACATCTTTTAGATGAAAAATTTGACGAGCACGTTTGTTTCGAAAATTTATGTAGAATAATAAAAAACACTTGATTCGGGCACATTAAAATTATAGTCTTTTGAAATTTTACGATAAAATATCTAAAAGTTAGTTTCGTATTAGGTTTTGTGATACCACAAAGTCCCTCTTCAAATTTTATATTATGAATATATGACCATAGAAACTCGTTTGATCCAAAAAAAAATTGTGGAAAAAAAATTATATACTTGGTTCACTGATGTAATTTATTACCGTATACTGATATAATCAATTATATCAGTTAATCGATTACATGGATATTGTAATTGATTACATAGTCCAGTCAACAATTAAACAGTGGTAGATTAATATATAATTTTGGTACAAAAGCAAAGTGATAATTTTTTATTTAATAAAGGGTACAATGATAAAAAAGAAAGAAAGAAGAAAACAGAGAAACGCCAAGGCCAAAGCCCCGTAAGCAGAGTCAAGACCAAGTTAAAAAAGGACAATAAAGATAAAGAAAGGTAATTGTTCTAGATATGATTAATCGACTAATCGGTTTTGGAGCTGGACATAAGGTTCCTTATCAAATTTTTAACATATTCAAAATCACTTATTTTTTTATAAACCATAATAGTCCTATTTGAGTTGGGAATATTATATTATAGTGAGACTAGCTCTCTCAAATTTTATTTTTACAAAATCACTTATTAATTCGGTTTTTGACCAGATCAGAAGATTATTCTAGTAACTTGTGACTTGGGAGCATTAAAATCAGTGAAATAACTGCTCCCAGTAGCTCCTCAACCGAAAGCAGAAAAAAGCAGTGAAAGATAGATGCAAGTTTAAAGGTTATTTTTACAAATTTTTTGTTTATAAATTTTTACAAATTATATTAATATGACCGGTCATATTTTAATTTTAATTAAGAGTATATAACCGGTGATACTTAATGTAATTTGTAAAAAAAATTATAAATAAATATTTGTCTTTTATTTGTTTTGAAAACAAAAAAGTCAATGTTTCAAAAGAAATGTTAGTGTTGATTCCCTATGTCCCTCTGGAGTGGTCAAAAACGACCACTGAGCGTCTCCAAGACTCAATAGACCCGATCTCTATCTGTGCTTGGTCAACAACCCAACACAAATTTCCATGGCATTTGTGTGTTTTTACGACCCCATTTATTCTCTGGCTTTCTTTCTCTCTAATCAGCTCTGCTTCCTGATTCATAGTAAGAATCATTATCCCAAGCTTGAGAAATGTTTCGCTACCAAATTCTTGATTCAGCACCCTCTTTTCATGACTCCCTCAAGGCACTTGAGGCTGACATTCAACATGCCAATATGCTGTGAGTTCTTTCTCTTCTCTCACTGTGTTGTATTTTGTTGCAAGAGAGGTTCACTTGGTGAACTAATGTGATTGACATTCTAAAAGACATGTATGTATGTACATATTAGCTCGTTAGTTGCATTTTTTATTTTTATTTTTTTGTTTAAGTCATGTTTGTGGGTACTCTCAATCTAAAAATCAATGCTGCTGCCAACACTGTATTATTGTCCATTTAATCCTTTTAGGTTAGTTTACTTGTATATTGATGATGCTTGGAATTCAAGGGTAGTGCCTTAGAATACATTTATTATAAGGGAAAAGTTTAAATGATTAGTTTCAGATATAATATTTTAGCTTAAATTTGAAACTGTATGCAGGGCAGCTTCTATTCCAAGGGGCAATGGAAGGGCTTGCCTTCAAATGAAGTTAGTTTACAATAAATTGGCACCAATATTTATGTTTTTATTCCAATGGATGGATTGCTCATGTTCATGTCTACTTCCAAGTCATTTGAATCTTTTCCATGTAATTGTGTACAAGGTTAGTATATCTGCCAGGGGGAAAGATCCGTTTACAAACCTTTTTAACAAATTACACTAAGTATGACCGGTCATACACTTTTAATTGAAATATGACGAATTATATTTAGTGTAGTTTGTAAGAGTTCGTAAATAAAAAGTTTGTAAATATAATCTTCCCCATCTGTTAGATATTCTTTTCTACATTGAATTAATGGCTTCTTTCTTCAATATTATTAATTTTATTGATCCTCTCTCTCTCTTTTAGGTTCAAACCAATGGGAAGCCAAGTATCTATTCTTGTGGAAGAAAAGCAACCATAAGGGAGTTCTATAGTAAGAACTAAATACCTTTGTTCCGCTTATAGTGCACTATGCTACTGCATAGAAGGTTATGTGGATACCATGCAGCTGTTAATATTATTGCATTTTGATTTATTCCCACTGGTTGATATAATGAATTTAGTATTTAAACTATATAAATATCATATTGATCCAAAAACTGCATTTCTGTTTTCTTTAATTTATGAAGGAGTAAATTCATTTAATAGTGTTCTTCTGTTTTTGCACTTAACTAGCTGCGTTCATTAATCTATAACTGTAGGTGTTATATTACCTTCTCTCGAGCGCCTTCAAGGTGATTTAGTAGATACGGACATTACTGTAGAAAAAGGTCACAGCATCGAGATGGTTATCAATAGGAGTGAGGAGGATAAGAGGAAGCACTATGATTTGGACTCGGAGAGAGAAAATGAGTGTGGCATCTGCTTAGAGTCTTGCACCAAAATGGTTTTGCCTAATTGCTGCCACGCTATGTGTATAAAGTGTTACAATGACTGGTAATGATGACCTCATTTTTCCTTCTATAAGCCAGTAATTGTAAACTAGTTATTGTTAAAATGAGAATGAAGGAATGGAGTTATTCTTAACAGTTAAAACATCTTTTTATCACTTTATGGTACAGGAACACAAGGTCAGAATCTTGTCCATTTTGCAGGGGAAGTTTAAAGAGAGTTAAATCAGGGGATTTGTGGGTTCTAACATGCAGTAGCGAAGTGATTGATGTGCAAACCATATATAGAGAAGACATGATGCGTCTCTATCTCTTTGTAAACAACTTGCCAGAATATATTCCAGATGCTGTTTTCTTTATGTATTAAGAGTACTTATTTTGATTGAATAATAATATGTACAGGTGAGAAAAATGCCAGCCATCAGTGTATAGAATGTGGTCAATTTTTCTCTTGATTATTTGTTTGTAGAGTACTCAATTATTACATTCTCTTGCACAAAATATGTCAGTTACTGTGTTTATCAAGATATTACAAGAAAATGAGGTGACCTCTTGCATTAAATAGAAATTTCATATGCATTAACACTTCGCTTACATAGTTGTGAAGAGGAAGGAGAAAATCCTCATTATAGAAGACATAAGTAGGACGATTACTTTCCCCAAAAAAAAAGTAGGACGATTATAATAAAGCGAGATATGTATATTTGTCTGGTAATTTATATGATGATAAAGATACACGAGAGGTTTAAGCTTGTTAAACCCAAATTGGTACACTGAGTGTTTATTATACGGTTGAGGAGGAGTGATTGGATAGGTGCACATGTGATGCATTCCGCTATATATTACGGTAGAGAAAGGATGAGTGTATGAAAAAGATGGAGTGGAAATGGCCAAAGGTCCTTCCTATGGGATAATGTATTTATATAGGTGGTTGTGAAATGTGCAAAAATGAGTTGCATAAAGGGCCAAATCACCAATTCAAAACAAAGCTTTCCAGGATGTACCCACCGTGGCTGTTTCAGCAATGGTGGTGGTGGTGAAAATATTCAACTGTAAATAGTGATAGAGTCCAGAAATAAATCAAGTAAGTATCATATAAGTGCGAAAAACCCACAGAACTAGAACTAGTGTCTTAAATTGAAATGTGGTATCAACTTATTTATTGTGCTTTATCATATACTCAGTGACGGACCTATTCAGTAGAAAATGTCTGCAAGCAGACATGATTTTTTTTTTTATTTGTCATCATAAGGGTTGTTTTTGTTGCTAGTAGTCTTGTCTCAGTGAGCTTGGTGATTCACTTTTAGGAACGGAGAGATGGGTTGCCATTAGTTTCAATGACTTTTGTTGCTAAGTGATATAAACTATTACCACTTTTTTTTCTCCCTCTTTTTTTTTGTCGTCTTCTTTTTCCTTTCTTCTTTGCCGTGTTTGATCTCTTCTTGATTTTTAGCAGCAATCCACTTCACTGTTTAGAGTTCTAAGTTAAATTATCTTGATTGCGGGTATGCTTGTTACTTTTAGATCTCTAGAATTGTTGCACTGAACGCTTGGATAAAGAACAATTTTTTGCAGGAAAGTGAGGATTCGAAGATCATGTATATAAAATTTTATTTTCTACAGGTGTTGCACACTGTCATTTCGTTGCTACTAAATTTGGTGGGTACCTAACCGTGGCGGATCTACTCTTGCCCACTTGACCATATTTTTTTTAATGTATTTAAAATTTTCTACGAAAAGAAATTTTCGACATAAATAAATTTTACTGGGTCCGCCAATTCATTGGTGAAAGGATCTTTTATAAAAGGTTTTAGACTCCCTGATACCATTCTTAACATGATACATTCATAACTAAAGATTTTTGTGAGGGAGCTGAAATTGGAATATATATTCTTCTTTGAAGTTACAACTTACAATCATGAGATAAGATCAATTTTTTTACTATTACTTCACTATTACTCTAATCACCATTGGATTCAAAAATTATTTTTCTTTTCTCTTTCTTCATTAAACTTTTTCTCTAATCTAATAGTAATTGAAGTGATAATAAAATAATAGTAAAAAAAATTAGTAATAAGAATATCCTACTTTTACAATTATGCATTTATAACTAAAGATTTCTATAAATTTTGAGGGAAAACGATCAGTAATTATATGATTAAAAAATTAGAAATAATATTCGAATCTAAAGAGTTGAATAACCGCATTTCAAGATTGGAAGTTGTGATGCTTATTACTTAAAATTTCTTGTTGAAAACCACATGCCATGTCTGCAAACTCATAAATGTTCGAGTAAATATTTTTTTTGATCCTCGACAAATTTTACAATGCCTGCTGTAGTCCTTAACAAATAAAAAAGTCAATTGTGGTCTTTAAAAAATTTAAAATGAACACATTTAGTTGAAATTGTACTCCTCATAAATTCAAAAAAGACCCATATTAGTTCTCGAAAGGACTAAAATTGATTCATTTTGAATTTCTTAAGGACCACGACGATGAATCTTTTTATTTGCTAGAGACTAAAGCAGACATCGTGAAATTTGATAAAGAAAAAAAAAAAAAGTATTTAGTACTCCAAAAAAGTATTTAGTCTAAATGTTTTGTATCGGATATCATGAGTTGCTGCAGTATCAGAGTACGGGGTCTGAATTATGCAGCAAGCCCTTTATTGCTTTATTGATAATAATGCCCGGATCAGTTTGGGCAAATGGCCAATTTTCTTAAAGAGGAAAATATTTGGTAAATTTTTTATTCAAATATCGCGTTAACTTTACTTTTTATTATATTATCACACGATGTAATTTATTATGATTGGTATCAAATTATATTTGTCTATGATTTCGTGACATGTGATCACATTATATATCAAATTCGTTATTATTAGTAGCGAACTTTGTCTAGTCAGTTTTTTTCTGAGAAAATATTTCACGTGTCACAAAATTATTAGTGAACGTAATTCGGTACCAATCGTAGCGAATTATGTCACATAGTAATTTGGTAAAAAATACTGTTCATATGACATTGGATAAAAAATTTGCCAAACAATGATACTTTGATCGATGTTTCAAAATATTTTGGGTATCCCTATCTCATCGAGTATTTATTATATCATTTATTAAATATAAAAAATAATATTTTTATATTACTCTCGTATTTATAATTATTTCTATCCATATTCTATATTTGTCCTTTTTTTTTGGTAAAAGAGCAAGGATTCCTGTGCATCGAAATTGAGCTCCTTTTACTGAAAACGAACAAGAGCGAGTATGGTTGGTCATAGACTCAGGCTAGCATTAAATGTTTTCTGCAATTTTATATTGGAAAAATTGTTTAACATAATTTATATCTTTTCACTTCTATAAAGAGTGAGATTCACACTTTTATTTATTTTTTTTGTCAACTCTCTCTCTTCCTTTATCTATCTCTTTCTTAAAATGACACAACTTTACAACTTTACATCCTTTAAAATGACACCGAACCTTTTATATTATGAATTTCAGTTTGAGCTTCTCCTTCTTTATTCCATTTGAATTTTTTATTTTTTATTTCTTTAAGGGGGAGGAGGGAGAAATAAATGTCTACAACCACAAGCATGTGCTAATTACGGTTTATCATGTTCTGCTAACGATAACCATGGCAAATGATACAAATACAACATTCCAGTTAACGTCTCATATATGATGCAGTGGACACAAGTTCTACCAAAAAAAGATAAAATCAAATTCCCTCACTTATAGTTACATTAGCAGAAGCTTTAAAGCCATAAGGACAAGCAAATACCAAATATTATTCCTGGGTGAACCATTCACCCCTGCTTCTCTTTCTTTTCCAACAAAAAATTGAATGGAGGTTGGCTGAAGTTTCCTTGCAGAAACATTTTAGAAACAACCTTATACATGGTCTCTGTGAGGTGAACACCATCCCAATTAATGTACTGAGAAGGGGTTGTGCAAGCCGTGGCATTAGGTGTGCCACATGTGGCAAAGACACTGAAGTTGTAAGGAGGTTCTCCTGATCCACAGCACACTTTGAAGACCTCTGTGAAACCATATTTGCTTGGATTCTTTATGACAGTATGGTAGGCATTAAAGTAATCAGCATAGACAATGACAGCATGGGGGTACTGTTTCCTGAATTCTTGTAATTTGGCTTGCAGCGCAAGGTTGTGGTTGTAGCTTTGGTTGTTGGCGCTTTTAACACATCCAATGTCATCTCTGTCATCTTGAGGAGCCAGATACATGGCCAATGTAAGGCAACCGGTCGGTGGCAAACCCTGCACAACTAGGTATTTTGCACCCTTCTGAAGCAGTGCCTGCAAAACAGAATGATAACAGTGAATGAAACTATTGATGGTTGTGTGACAAATCAATTATCCTAAAAATTTAAGTTATTGTATAAGTATATATATTTCTAACATATCCTTACAAAAAAATAATTTATAGACTTTGAAACATGAATAATGCACATATTCATTTTATCTTGTAACATTATGATGAAATTTAATTTTTTTTTTAATTGGAAGAATGTGATCGTGAGATCAAATTTTGGATCACTTGGACATAAAAGTTCTTGTACCATGTCACAAATCAATTTGGGAGAGTTGGTTCCTGACATAGGATCCCATTTGGATAAATTTTTGTAAAAAGGAACTTTTTATGTGTTGTATTTTTCAAAACGACTTTTTTAAAAATCAAAACAATTTTGTATTTAGACGTAACATGTGAAAATCACATTTAATTAAAAAAAATCATTTAGATGTTAAAATTAAAAAATATTTTTTATATATAAAATTATTAAAAAATATATGTGATGGTAGTAGGGGTGTCCATCAACCGATTCAAATCGTGGTGACCGAATCGAAAAATCAATAACCGAATAAATCAAAAATCGAAAAAAAACCGCAAATTTTAATTGGATTGTATCAGTTTTCAGATTGGTTGATGAAAAGAGATCCCATCCAAACAGATCCAATATATTAATTTTTCTCTACCTACTTGGGTCTTTCCCCTATCATAGCCCAAAAATTTTTAAACTCAAGACCCATTAACCCATCAACTAAACTCAAAAAAAATCTAGTCACATCTCATCAACAAAATTTCATCTGTATAGAGCTTCATATCTCATTGCCAAAAAAAAAACTATATTATCGTTTACTGGTACTTTTATATTTTAAAATCCAAAAGATGATATTTGCACAATAATCAGGAAACAAATTTTAGGATTTTCAAAAAATCGAAAACCAATTCAATTCAATTCGAAATAAATTGGATTGTACCGGATCGGATTTGAAAAAAAATCCAAACAGAATGGAGAGTACATGATCAAACCGAAGAAATTGGATTGGATGGTTTTTGCTTTCAAAACTGATCCAATCCAGACCGCAAATACCCTATATGGTAGTTGTGATAGTGGAGTGGAGTAATTGGAATGAGACTATGACAAATTAGATTTTTAAAAAAATATTTAACCTTTGTGGTCCGATTTTTTTTCTATTTTTTTTTGGATATAAGTGAAAATTAAACACACAATGTAATATAACCTACCCAAATCGCCCACCGGAACAAATCTTTTTCAACAAACAAGGAATCTTGACTTAAAAAATATACTATTTTAACTTCTTCATTTTTGAATTCTGCTTTTTAAAAAATTGCTACTTAGAGAAATAAAATGAAAGAACTTCTTAAAATACAGCTTTTTTATTGGGCAAAAAAATAAGGTTATATTTACAATCTTTTTTTGCTTCCAGTTTCCTACCACCAAATTTTAATCGTTGATTTTCGTCAATATGACAATTATAATTTATTAAGAATTAATAATTATTAATAAGTGTGACCCAATAAATTATAACAGTCAGATTGACGAAAATCAACGGTTAAAATTTTATTGAAGAGATGATAAACGAAAAGAGATAGTAAATATAACCTCGCTAAAAAAAAAAAAACATTCAAACACCCACATATTCATTAATTATATTGATTAATTGTTCTTCATAAATTCACCTTGTCACATGATGATTCTGTGCACAAAATTGCTCTATGTAAGGAAAATAAGTAATATGCTTTTGAGTTATAAGTACTTGATAAGTTGGTATTAAAGACCAGGGCCAATAAGGCATATTATATTACCTGTAAAGCTCCTGAGATACTGCTAATTGCAAGCTTCCTTATGGTGTCCTCTGAGACTGAAGATCCAAGAGTGTAGGCATAATCATTGACTCCAATCTCACCAAACCAAAATAGAGTCTCATTAAAATCTTTGCACTTTGATTCCACACCTTGACATCCTTGGCTCTCTAGGTACCTATTAAACCATAGAAGCTGGGTTTGGATGGACTGAGGAGTGATATCAAGGGTAAGGTTGTTCCTGACAAAGAATAGATGGTTTATTGCTGTAGAACCAGCAACAGCAAAGTTCAACCCAAAAGTGTCATTGCCTTTTTTGTGACAGTAAGGGGGCAAGTAAGGCAAAGATAGTGCTTCAGCCACAAAGTCAATCACAAGCCTACCATCAGAGTACCTGTTGGTGGAATGGTTAAAGAAGGTGGTTCCATATGGAGAGTTTGATACATGACCAAACCCACTTGGACCATTGGCATTCTTAGTGTTACCTGTATCGGTAAAAGAGTCCCCAAAGGCATAAACCCTCTTGAAGGGTCTTGTTTGTCCCTCCTCAGTTGCTGCATAAGTAATTGACAGAACTGAGGAGAATATGCAAATTGTAATGAGGGTGATTTTAAAAGTGATGGATGCCATTTCGAAAGGCCACCTTAATTGTGTTCAGAAGTGTATGCAAATTGCTTTAGCAGTTTAGCTATTGAGTTCAAGGCTTATATATACAAGACTTTGAGATACACACTATATTATACAATTTTGAAATTAATAAATGTACCGTAACTACCAAAGTACAAATTCTGAAGAAATTTTTTTATGCAAGAATTTAAAGGAAATGTTATATTTATAAAATTTTTGTTTACAAACTATACTATGTTTTTCCAAGAGAATACTATGTTATACTATGTTCTCCCGAAAATATATAGTGTAATTTGTAAAAAAAAATTATAAACCAAAGATTTTTCAAATTTTAATCCCAATAGTTTATCGTGCTTTATGTCTCTGTTACATGCCGTGTCAGACTTACATTTACAATCCTATTAATACTTTTTGGGGTGAGAGGGTAGTTGGGGAGTATGCAGTTGGCTTCTATTACAAAATTGAAAAGAGAAAAAAATTAATGAATTTTTGTTTAAATTGTATAAATAAAATTATATGTGCTTTTAATTTGATTTAAAACATTTTAAAATCTTAATTTATTAAAATTTAAATTTAAATACACTCTATATAATTTTTACACAGATGCACATTGAAAGTATTTCACAAAATTTATGAGTAGGGTTGTATCTTCTTAAATTAGTTTTTTGATATTTAATAAAAAAAATTTAAATGAAAGTTGGTATATATAATATCTAAAAAAATATTTCATATCTTTTCTATTTAATAATAAAAAAATTAATAACGAGAATTTAAAATTATTTAGTTTCTAATAATTGAGGTATTGAATGAGCATGTCCCCGCACCAACCGTTTTTAGGTATTTTGTGTAAAACAAGAAGGTGGACAGCGTGGAAACGCATCGGAGCCCTCTTTTTGGATGTTGGAAGTTAATTTGCGAGCAACTTTGGTTGCTTTGGTATGACCCACTTAATGGCTACCAACTACCACAGTACAAATTTTTTACTGACTGAATTGCTGAATGCCACGTCTAATATTTAAATTATGTGTCATATACAATTATAGAACACAAAATAAATCAAAATAAGGAACATGAGTTTATTATGATTTTATTGAATGATATTCTAAAAGGTAGTTTTTTTTTGGTTTTAATGTTTCTGTAATAAATATAGATAAATTATCTATACTTACTCTTAAAATGACATCGTTTTGCGTTGAAAGATTAAAATATTATAATCTTGAAATAAATTATAATTATAAAAGTATCTTGATTTTCGTTTCAAAACGACGTTGTTTTAAGCTTAATGTAAATAAATTATCTATATTGACTGCAGAAAAAATAAAATTCTTTTTTTTTTGAACTTTTTAATTGTAATGAAACTCGATGGGTAAAGTTATTCCATAAACAGGCCTATCTTATATGGGTAATGTTTTCCTCCTTTTACATAACACAAACAATTTTTCTACACAAACATAAAAGTGAGCCCATTAATTCTTTTACTTTTCTTTTATTTTAAAAATAGTAGACCCCACAATTAATTATCTCTATGACATAACCTAAGATTTTTCCTACAAAATAATATTAGTTTTTCCCATCTTATATATTGATATTCGATCTTACATAGTTATTTTTTTATAGAGTAATAGACCACAAAGGAGGCTTTTTGACCAATTGATTTTTTTTAATAAAAACAATACTTATTTAATTCATTTTAAAAAAGATATTTTAAACTAATGCAGTCAATCCTACATATTAATTGTGTGGAAGAAGTTTCACTCGTCAACAATGCGAGACTCAAGACTAATGTGAAAGTCTCGTATGTTGACTATACTGGACTTAATGTAAGCGTGGCAATCTCGCATGGGAATAACAGGTTTTATGGCAAACGTGTGAGACTTACAACATTAAGTCTTGTAAAATCAACGTGCGAGATTTATACTTCCCAAAAAAAAATGTGCGGATTCAAAGAGTCCCACATGATCAATGTACGGACTTTCACACTGACATTTAGTCTTGCATCGTTGAACTTGTCTCGTATAAATAACATGTGAGATTGACCACATTAGTGCAGAATATCTTTTAAAAAATGAATTACTTAAGTATTCTTTTTATGTAAAAAAATTTTGTTTGGTCAAAGAGCCCCACAAAGGAGTAAGCCTCTATAGTATTATTAGTTATCTCACACATAAATCAAATAAAATCTAATAAGCCTAAAATAATTAATCACCTTTTTTTTGGTATAGAGACTCTAATTATCTTTTTGAGACAAGTCGACCCTCCAAGTATATCCACAAACTTCAACTCTTATTTTAATTTGAATAAAACATTAACTTTGTTTTAAAAAATATTTCAACGAATAAGATTGTTTAATAATAAGTTTATATTTAAAGTAAGTAAATAAATATATATATTCATCATTGATTTAATTTGTGAAAAGTAAGAGTGGTAATTCAAGTTGACACAATATGGCATGAAATTAACACGAGCACAACAAGAATTTGAAAAATTGGGTCAAAACCTTCACCACGAACATGACACAAAAAAAACGCCAACCTCAAAGTGTGTCGCTTACTATGGAGGTTGACATGACACAAATAATCAATAAACCTCAAAGTGTGTTGCTTATTATACAGGTTGACACAATACGATAAGGCACAAATTACCTATATACTGAATGTTAGTTGAAGAATCAAAATGATGATATGGTTGTCACGCGCTCAAAGTTAATACACTTGATGATGCCACGTCAATATGGTTTTGATGATAACAAACAAACTCAAAGAGGAATGCTCAAGAACGAAGTAACATCCAAAAGAAGTCAAGCAAATGTGAAAGCAATGCAAATCAAAGAATGAAGCCAAGTCCAAGACCTCACTGATATATTAATTTAGGACTTAGAAAATTTATGTAAAGTTGTATAGAATCTAGCATTGCATGAGCTCAAGTCATACATATAGTTACCTAATCGTAAATTGCTTAAAAATATAGGTTCAACAAGTCAAAAGTGCATCAAAAGGTCTCTAAAATAATTTAAGCACTTAAGCAGCCTTGCACAGTGTAATCACACATATTCACGATCTTAAAGCACTCATTTGATTTAAAAGAATGCATCTTTAATACCAAGCCTTAAAGAAATGTCAAAATGAATAGTTTGATATGTCAAAAATTGGTTTGGAGGTACTTACATGATCTAAACACTTCTAGATAGTTTCAATAACCAATTACATGCATTCCAAATTATAGAAACCATTTTGAAAGAAAAGAAGTTTAGAATTCGTGCAAAAAAGGTGCTGCAATGAAATATTCGGATATTGTACTTTGAATATCCGGATACAATATCCGGATATGGGTCCAATAAATATCCGGATACGTACGGATCCCAACGGCTATAAACGGCTAGTTTTCAAATGAGATGTTAATATAAATACTCACATCAACAGTAATGAACAGTGGACGATCATAGATTAATTATTGAACCTTTATTACTCATTCTAGCCAATTATTGCTCATTGATTACATACTTTGATCATTACATACACTTGAGCTCATCTTTCATTTAAAGCGATACACCTATTAGTTCTTCAATTTGTGTAATCTGTACTTTGAGAGTACTTAGCCATTCTTAATCACCTCAATCTGATTCCTTGAATTGAGAGGGGAGTGAACCCTTGTGTAAGTGAAAGAAAAGTGTTGGTCTCTAAGTGACCGAAGTCTTGGAGAATATTGTAGTGGTTTGTTGAGCATCCTTGAAGCTCAACCGAATAGTAAAAGTTGATAGAGCGGCTTCAGTCTGGACGTAGGTCACGGTGGTGGTGACCGAATACATCTCGTTTGCAATATCTCTAATCCTTATCTTTTGCATAAGCATTGTTAGATCATTTGAGCATATTTAATTTCATATCTTGCCAATTATTTGCTTGAGTTATTTACTATTATTTAGTCTCTACGTGTAGCAAATCATATATACTCAAAAAATTCATTTTCAAAAAAAAAGTGAGGCATTTTGCGAAAATATTTTAAAATTCAATTCACCCCCTCTTGAGTGCCACTTGTTCAACATTAGTTTCACTATTGTTGTGTTGACAAAACACGATACAAATAATTTGTATAAAAATTAATGCAAATCAATTTTTATATTTGCGGGTTGACATGCAAAATAATACACTTCTTTGCATATTGATTTTTAACAACTCAAACATGACACAAAATTAAAAATAAATCAACCTGAATACAAATTTTTAATATCATGTTAGCTGATGATGTTAAAATTGTCACCCTTATTAAAAAGGCACTCTTTCTACATTCGTCCCAACATATTATTTATTATTTGGATGAATTATATATAAGACCCACTAAATAAAAAAATTATTTATTTTTAATGAAACTCATAGAAATTCACCTCATAATAATATATGTTAAAAAAGTGTGTTTTCAGTAATTTTCTCAATTTAAAATATATCATAATTTTAATTCAATAATTCAAAAGTAAATATATATTTTCTTACTCAATTTATAAAAAAATTCACTTTAAAATAAATTTTTTATTCTAATACTTTGTACCATAGTTAGTTGCTGTTCATAGTGCTCTTTAGGAACGTGATCTGGATTGGATCGATTTTGAAGCAAAATTCATCTGATTTAATCCCTTCGATTCGATCATTTAATCATCTATTCGGTTTGGATATTTTTTAAAATCTGATCCAATCCAATCCAATTTTATTCGGTTTGGATTGGATTGATTTTTTATTTTTCAAAAAGCCTAAAATTCCAGCCTACAAATTACTAGCTATATGAAAATAAAGCTATACAAAATTACAAACTACTGAAAAATACAAGTCTTCAAATTAAAACAATTCTTAAAACTTATGAAGAGTTAAAATAAATTAATAGACAATAAAAAACTAAAACAATATAGTTTACTATCAATAACATCAAATATTCAAGTCTACAAAACAACAAGATTTCAAGGAATCATTTTTCAAAATTAATAAATACATATTACATTTGATCGATTTGGATTGGATCGATTTTCCCCAATCAAATTAAAAATCGA